CATGCAGGGCTAGAACATGACAGCACATGCTTAAAGAGCCACAAGTCTCCTCCAGTTCTGTTTGTTTATGCCTCAGCACCTTCTCCAACTGCCACATTCCTGGAGCTCCTACGTTACTTTTCATCTTTTATTCTGTTTTACGTGGAAATGAGCAGCTGGTTGAATATTTCTGGAACTAGCAGCCAGCCCCCTCCCCACCAATCCGAAAGAAACAGATGCATCTTGGGATCAATAAATGATGTGAGAGAATTAATGTATGTCTGAGTGAGAGCAGCCGCATGTGTGCATACCGGGAAGAAAGCCCACAGGCACTGAAGACTATTAGCTGCAGTTCAGGGCTGCGCTAACTTGATAGCATGCCACCATTCGCCCCTGCGAGGTGGGACAGGGAGGGGGACCAGCAAAAAGAGGGCAGGATGACACTCCCCACTAAGGGAGGCTCTGATGTAGCATTAGGAGAAGCATACCATTACGGCTTGTTTTTTAAATAGGGAAAAGCTGTGTTTTTCAGGGCAAATTTCATGAAACATTAAAAAGCGTGACCACCCATATTTTAATGATCAGCATCAGCCAAGCATTAACCCCCCACCCCGCCCCACCTCCCGCATCATTGGTCCATACAGACACGGGAAAGAAAGAGAATCTCTGTGCACTGGATAGCAATTTTTTTTTTTTTTACTGGTTTGTTACTACTGTGACCCGAGGTGCCTCAGGTCACCCACCCTGAAAATGCCAAGGGCAGGGCAGGCTGCACAAAGGAGAGCAGGTTTTCCTAACACTGGTAGTTAACACTGTAGTTAGATTCACCAACCAGCCACAAACTATCGGCCACGTTGGCTTGTACGAGGCAGGGATTGGGCCTCCTGCCCCTCACTGCAAGGCAGCTAGCACCCTTCTGGGGGCTGTACAATAACACGTGATGCTGATGGATAGTGTGTGGGCTGTACAGCAAGTGTAGCAGAGGCCAATCACTGAGGAATGGTAACGATGGGTGTCCCTAGGTTGATACTCTAACTAAGGGTGTTCTGGAGAATCAGGACTGGGATGAACGTGTGTGGAACCCATTGGCTAGTATGTGTTATGTGTCCGCCCGCTCCGAAAGGCTACTATCTGTAGCAGGTAATGGACTCACGCCTTCACCGCAAGGGTAGAGGTTAGGCTCACAAAGCGGGAGGTCTCGTGTTCAATCCACACAGATGGACCCTGGTGAGGGATCCAGGAAGACAGAGCTGAGCAGTATGCTCCATAGTGTGTTGTTTCCAAGACAAAAGGCACCAATCGTAAAGAGCAATTGCTATTAGGAAGACTAGAAAAGACACTGCACACAGGAGAGTGGGGGGAGTCCCGGGCCTGTCTCCCGGCGGTGGCTGAAGAAGCTTGGGGGATATTTGATCTTTAACCAGGAGACAGGCCGTAAGTGCGATAACTCACACAGCATTTCTCTCCACTGTTTTTAATCCCCTTTGCCAGCTAAAACAAGGACCTTCCAGGTCAAAAAGAAAAAGAGGTGCTGAATGATATGGGCTTGGCTTCCGTTTGCTTTTCGGATTCAGCATCAACGAGTGTGGGCTTTTCACTGTCTCAAGCCCCTGTGGGCGTCATTTCAAACTCCACCTGTGTCTTCCCAAACCCCACTGTAAGTGAGTCACAGCTAGTACCGTCACCCATGGAGCAGGATATATTGGGGGTACTGAGTACCACTAGAAATCAGTCAGCTGATGCTCACTCTGCTCCCTGCCGCTGACCAGAAATTAATGAGTTGCTTTATTAGAGATGTTTCTCTTCAGCAAACAGAGAATTGCTTTAAACCGAGATCCCCTTCCATTCCCTCCCCCGTGCCAGGTGGAAACAGCTGCAGCTCACAGATGTTATTTATGCAGAACTATTATCTCAATTATATATGTACGTTGTTGGAATTGCTTATGTCTCCAGATTAGTCTGTTTCCAGTGGAAATGTACAACATGGATTAATTACTAAATGGCTTCTGAAGCTTGGTGTCATTAAATCATCATCACTCTCTTGCCTCTCCTTTCCGCGTTGTGTTCTTGAATAGATCCCGACGCAGCAGTAGCAAGCACAGCACAGGTGATAGTTAGTGTGAGGTTCCACGCGCAAACGGCACAACTTGTTAGACCGGCTTTGCTGGGCTTTGAGTGGAAGCCAACGCATTTCCAATGGCATTTCCATGGTCTCCAATGACAGCAAATGGCCAGGAAGCCCTTATCTTCTTACTGGGATAGTCAAGCAGTCTAGCAAGGGTCCTAAGGCTGTTCACACCAACCCGTTCACTCGGATCTGCCATTTTCTCAAGATGTCTCCCAACACCTTGCACTAACTGCTCCAGCCTCTTGGCATGGCAAGCGGCCACCTCTGAAAGAGCAGAATATCCAGGGCGCTTGCTCTGCACCTGCTCCTGGGGGCTTGGGTGCAGCTACACCAAGAGAGACAGATGCCCAAAGTCACACCCACATAAGCAGAGTGCTCCATGGGGTAGTGGGCTGCTCCACCAGGCTTTTCATTTTTTTCTGGGGCAAGGAGCCTCCCCTCTGTCTCTCTCTCTCTTCATCAGCCACACACCCCAAAGGGCTCTGAGCTTCACATAACCAGGGGAGTGGCTAGGAACGAGCCTGGGGAAGTGGGAGCAGCACCTCCAGAAGAACTTCCTCTCGAGGAGATTTGTGAGCCTGGGGAAATAGTGTCCCAGGAGAAGTGGTGAAAACCCCATCACTTGGAACCTTTCAAAAGATACTGATGCAAACATTATCCAATGCGCTGTAGGAAACTGGCGGCAGCAGCTGGACTAGATGACCTAACAGGTCTTTTCCATTTCTAGAACAATGAGATTAATTTCTCAAAGGCAGCAACCCCTATATCATTGCAGAGCTGCAACACACAGGCTGTGTGTGTCATATTCCCTTCCAGTGACTAATCTCCATAGAGGATAAGAACCTACTACTGCTGCCAGGTAAGAGAGCTACTCCTTGAATTCCTGTAGTCGAAGCTAATGCTTTCAGTGCTGGAGGTCCAGTGTTCAGCCTCTGCTCACAGACCTTGGGTGAGGTTTGTTAGAAAGACTCTTACCCATCCTTTCATTATCTTCTCCCGCACCACCATTTTCAATTCTTTGGAGCAGTCAAAAATGAATAAAGAAAGGTGTGTGTGTATATTTAAGATCTGTTCTGCTCTAGGCTAGTTATGGAATACGAGATGTCTGTGCTTAAAACAGAAGCAAATTAAACTCTGATCCTTGCACAGATTATAATACAACACACAATACTTATAACCATTTCCATGACAACAGATATGAAAAGGGATTTCATTTGCAAGAAAGGTAGAAAACACATTGAGGAGAAGGTAATTAACATGGGCTGTAACAAGAGAGACCAGAACATTTTATTTAACTGTAGTTGCCTTACTTAGATACCCATTGTTCCCAAGACAAGATTTCAGTCTGCACTAGAGAGGGGAGAAAAGCCTTTTACAGGGGTCTGAGATAAACTGTCTTTGTGCTCAGGCATGTGTGCAGAGGCTGCTGTTATCTTGCCGCACAATTAACAAGGAACATTCTGTAAAAATGTCTTGCCTCATATAATCTTGCAGTTTCACTTTGGTTCAGGTAAATAAATCATGTCCCCAGGAAATGCTAGAAAGGCTTTGCTGTGTCAGGATAGCGCTGTTCATTAGACAGATGATTGACAGCCTAAAACAGCCATTAGCCTCCATCTTGTGCACGGTGAATGAAGTTTGCTGGAAGCTGTTCTTGGGCTGACTTCAATGAGTTTTCTATTTCTTCACAATTTTTTCCATAGTAGATGTGACTAGTAACTAGTAAGTGTCTAGCGACAGAGTGAATGACTGTGGAACTGACTAGATTCCTTCTGTACCTTGCAAATCCCACAGAACCAAATCCAGGTTCTGGGCGTGAGCCGGAGCCCTTTGACAGTCATCCCACTGACTTCTATGGGTTTTGGATTGGGCCTCTCATGAGAACCATGAGTAGGAACCCTAAAATCAGAGGTGCCCCATTATTTAAAGTCACACTCATGCCTATTGATTTGAATTGTAAGTGCCCGCAGAGTGAGTCCAAGCAGCATGGGTCAGCTTGTATTATTTCAGATGAGAGAGAGAGAGAGAGAGATGGAAAAGGAGTTTCAAGCCCAGAGATTTTCTGAGGCTATGAGAGGCTTGTTTTACTGAGGGCTTTGAGGGGAGCTTATGAAAAACCTGTCACACAAAGAGGTGCCCTATCTTTTACGTTGCTCACTTAGAGACCCAATGCCAGAGGGTACTTTAGTCTCAGCAGGGAGATCTCCCAGACAGTAAAAGCTACAGCACTTTAAAACACAAGGATTTGGCTGGAGCTCACTCTGTGTCCTACATGCAAACACACTTCCCATCTTTCCTCTAGCGCTCCTGGCAGCAAAGAGAACCTGGGGAAACAGCGGCTGCAATCCTGGCTGTGCTTTCCTGACTAAACTCCTAATAACAAAACATTACTTTCTGGAGCACATTTCCAGCTCCCTTTCTTACTTCTGCTTTCTCAGTTTGAAAGCAGGGAGGCCAAGAATACACAGGTCACAAGATTTTAGATACTAAGGAGAGCAGCAAAATATCAGAATGAATTTCTGTGGGAAAACAGCTGGGATAGAACTCCATTAATGACTCCACAAAAGTCTAGTCCTACTGGAGCTGAAGCTTGTTCTTTCCTAGCCCTGGTTAATGCATACCAAAATCATTACGGCAGGGCACTGGCCAATTGGTACGCATGTCTGTGCACGTTTACAGAACAGGGGCCATGACGGCTTGGTCAGTTGGGTGTCGTGAGGTTATAATGTACTTGGGATAGGCCCGTACGAAGTGTCTGATTTCTGTGCGTGTAGGTGCTAGAGCGTTTCCAGCATCCCAGCATAACAAAGTGAGAGGTGCCAAATGAAAAGAAAAGAAAACCAACCGTGTCTATCAAGACTCTATCAATAACCAGAGCGTTACGGTCTCTGACCTGACTGCGAACTTTCTCGAGCTCCTCTTTGCTGACAGACGGACTGGGCTCTCCCGCTGTCACCAGCAGGAGCTGCACATCTGCAAGCAGAGCGTGTGTCCTCTTCAGGTCCCGCCGAAGCCGCTTTTCTACGTCGAAGTCCCGATGACCAATCTGGGGGCAGAAAGGTTTTCATTAGAGCCAGTCCCCGAGTCTGCAGGCGATTCCAACATTTCAGGGGGGTTATTTTGAATCAGATGAAAAGGAGACATTTCCAAATCTCCCAGGGAACCAAACCCCAGGAACAATTCAAACTGGGACTGTGGAAATGTTTCACTTCAACAAAACTGTCAAAATCAACTCGCCCTCCCAAAACATTTTGAGTTCGATGCAATTACATTTCCCAAAAGAAAACCGTTGCGTTAGAAAATTGCCAACCAGATCTAGTTTCTGTTAGCATCTTGTTCGTACAGAGATGCAGTCTGCCTCAGTCTCCAGTGCAAGCAATAGATTTCAAAGGAGCAGCAAAGAGACTGTCTGTAGTGACCCAACAGATCAAATGAATAACTAACGACAAAGTCTAGGACCCAGGTGCTTTAAAGTTTCTTTATTCTGTGGTACTTCCTATATGTAACCCATGTGCACCGTGATTACTGAGATCCACAGCGAGTCCAGATTTTATTCACCATCTCGCCGCCCTTAAACGATTTCATCTTTACTGTTGACCCCACTCAGCAGTGACAGATGCCGGTGAAAGCTTTATGGGTATCTTCCATCGGAACATGCCAGGCTTTGCATGCTGAACTGCTCGCCCGTCGAAAGATGGCTATAACCCTAGCCCTCACTTAGAGCTTGCAGATCTGAAACACCAGGTGCTGCTGTCCAATGTCCTGCTTCCTACACAGTCAAACTTCTGAGTAAACCCTGCACCAGGAATGAGCTATCACTCCTCTGCAGTAGGAAGAGTCCTACAGCAATATTCTCTCACTCTCAGTGCTAGAGAACATTGTTACCAAGGATACTAATACAGAAAAAACAGCATGGCTCGAGGAAGACCAAGACAGCAACGCAGCACAATATCAGTCTGGAATCATGGAGGATTGTAAAATGTATTTCTCATGGTCACTGTCATTACTGCAGATTTGACCATTTGGGCTTTACACCCGTGGAACGTGAACCAGCTGGGAGGTGAATTTCCCCCCCCACAACCCAGGCTGCAAACCACCCATGCGGCCTCTCTGCAAGGCTTTGTGCTGGCATCAGGGGTGAAGTCCAACAATAGTGGGGGGGAAAGTCCTGCAAATCCTCGTCTGAATGTTGAAATGGATTGGCCTTGCCTGGATCTCTGCCCCTTGCACACTGGCCTTCTGTTAATACTGGTGCAACTGAGAAATACTAACATGGAGACTCACGGAGATTGAATCTCCGATTTCTACAGGCATTCACACCTAAAACCTGGTTACTAGGGTTACACTCATCCAATCAGGGAACAGAAACTACCCACTGTGCTTTATGACCCAATCATGGTTAAGCAACATCTCAAATTTCAAATACTGAACAGCTAAAATGTAAAAGTTATCACAAGTTATTGAAGAATGAAAAAAAATATTCAAGAAAACATACAATTTTATCTGAGAAATTCCACATCAGAAAAAAAAAACACAGGGAAAAACCCCACCAAATAAATATTTAGTGTGAATTATTCCCACAGCGCTAATGCAGAGCATCTGTTTCTATAGCGAAAGGACTCTTTGCAAATGACAGTTCTTCAGTTTGAGTTGTGTCCCTTGGTCTATAGGCAGAGGTTTGTGTTATTATGGGGGCTCCTCACCAGTTAATTTTGTGCCAGTGTATTACCGTGAAGCCCTTTAAAGAAGGGAAAGAGGAAGTGAGTTTAAAATATTCTACATCCAAATGAATTTGTGAGTATCCATGGACACAAGATAAGAGAATTAGAAAAAAATGAGCAAACAAGGACATGGTTTCAGTGTTTGATTTGATACTAATTGGAATATGACGGCACTTGTACTCTGTGCTTCTAAATATTCCTTTATGTATCTCCTCTGCTCTCAGATCTATTCTCCTATCATCTGTTCCCTGGTTAAAATTCATTACACAGACTTGACCTTGGAACCTGTTTTAAAGCTGCTTGGCATTTTTCCGTAACCTGAAAACACTGGTGGTGTCTCCGCTTCCTTAATTGGCTTTCAGCTGTTTGATAAGAAGGTCTGCAGCATGCTGTCCACTGCAAATCAAAGTGTAGCGCTAATAACTCTACAGCAGAGCAGATGTGCTCTTCTCCCATTCTCTCTCCCCACCCCTCCCACAGAGGCAGGCTGTCTCCTGGATGCTGTACTGTACTGTTTGTCCTATCTCAGTGCTTGTCTGCCACAGCAGATTAATTCTGTGTCATAAATACAAATTGGGTTTATTGACTTTGCCATTTTCAGTGCACAGAGAACGCCAGTCTCTGCCTGCCCCCTCTGTCATCACCGACAGGTACCTTTTCACTTGAAATCAGGGCCAGAAAAGCTGACTAATACAGTGTTTTTCATGCCCACGTTTGCTCTTCCTTTCCGCTAATCACAAAAGGAAATGAAGAATCACAACAGTGAACGTGGTCATTTGGTGCAGGGCATGGAGAGAGAGATTATACAGTCCTGGCCATGCCTTGTGTGAGGTACCAGCAGGGCCGCATCCTTTGGTAAGGACAATCTGACACTACCTACCTCCCATGCACTGAATTCTCTCTGCAGCTCATATGCTATATTCATTCACCTGTGTTAATTTTTGTAAACTATCAGACAGAAGGAATACGCTGAATTGACTGGTGGTAGTAATAACGATACCCTGCATTGATACAGCAGTGTATATTCTGCCAGTTAACAAGTATTTTATTAACTGAAAGCCTATGGGAAGTTCTGGATAGGCCCCATTACACAATTTTACATCTATCCTGAAATCTCGCCACCATTGCACAGTGTTGTTAGACTCCAAAATTCTTCATCTTCTCTCCAAAATGTAATGAACACACATACGTGCCAGACCTCATGAACCCCAGCCAGCTCATTCCAGTGAGCAGGAGTTAGGTTAGCTAATGACCGTAACTCCAAATAAGTAGCTCCCACTCTCCTCGGTGTGCCCTTGTTTTAAAGCTATTTTAATTGCAATATAATGCTGAGCTGTCCACAGGCAGTTTGAAAACATTCGCATAAAAGACTCAGCTCACTGGGCTACAGCCCTGAGTCTCGCTGTCTTTCCATACAGAAGCGATGAGACAGCATGTCTAAGTGTCCAGGGAAGCTGCTCTTCTGTCTGGCTGTTACCCTGCACACCCAGGTAAGGGCCAGCATGGCCCTGGCCTTTAATGAGAACTCCCGCTACAGGACATGGTGCATGAGAGAGTTTCCAAACGTGGCTAGGTTTGTATGTCACCTAATCGAAATGTCGTCTAATGAAGCTACGTTCAAGTTCCTTATGGTATAATTTAACATGAAAGAGCTGTGTATGCTTTTCCCAGCACGCTCCCCAATCACTGCCCTGCACACATTAAATGGTGACAAAAGATTTGTTCGAATGAATGTGGTAGGGACAGACATCTACAGTAAATAATCTGATAAACGGCTTCTCTGGGCAGAAGGAGTTGTTCCAGCATTTTGGTTTGTTTGCTTCTCCCACAAAAATAGTACAAGGAAAGCATTCCTTTCCAATGCTTAGTTATCCAGACACTTATCCTGGGAAAAACGATAAAGCTGCACCTCCAAGATCCCCTTGTGGGACCAGCCCCACCTTTGTTCTGAGACTATATTGGGACCACCGCATTAGAAATGCTCTGGCAAACGATACTGCTCTAATAGCCGGGACAATATTTGGTGGAAGAAGAGCTAGGATTTGCCCCTTGGCAGCATCTTTGATAGCAGGGGGCTCATTGTGTTCTGGCTCCGGCTCCATTTGTTTTTTGTAACTTGTCCCATATTAATAAAAAAAGGCAATCGTGTTTTGGGTGGGGGCATCCCGAGTGCAAGATGGTAATGCCAAGGATTGGAGACACACACGTTCGTCTGGCTGGCAGTTTCATAAGCCATCTCCCAGGAGCTGGTAAAATAAGGTGACTGATGGATTCCAGTTTCCTACCTGCTCACAGAGGGTCCCAATGAGCCCTTCCAGATCCTGCTTCTCATGGAGCACCATCTGCTTCTCCTCAAATTCCTGCTCCAACTGCATCTCCAGTTGACGAAGCTGCACACAGGTGAGAAGCACACAGACTGCTCAGAATGCAATCTCCTGCCCCAGCTGAGGCCAGCAGAAGTCCGTGGGGGTTGCCTCCAACTTAATAACTACTTTGCTTGCTCCTTCTAGCGGTCTCTGAACGGTTTGCACCTTTCCGTATAAAAAGGCGAAGGCAATCACAGGCCTAGCCATTCATGTTACATGAAGTCCCTCATTTCTGATTGAAAATATAAGAATATGGCCCAATGGTTTGGCCTGCCCGGGCGTGGCCAAAGCAGCAGCAAAGTAAGGGTCCCTGCTGGCACACACACAGTAGCTTGGCAGCCAGCGGAACACTCCCATCATTGCTAGTAGGGATTGGAGACTTGTTGTCCTTTAAAGACACTCTGGATATGTCAACACTGCAAAGAAACCCTGCAGCAGCAAGTCTCAGAGCCTGGGTCAATTGACTGGGGCTCACGGGGCTCACGCTAAGGGGCCAAAATGATCAGTGTAGACATTCCCACCCACTGCTATTTTCAGCCCTGTAGCATGAGCCCCACAAGCCTGAGTCCTTTGACGCGGGCTCTGAGACTCACTGCCACGGGGGTTTGGGGCTGTGTAGACGTATCTGCTGTGTATTGGCGAGATGACCCCATTACCTTCTTGGCAACACAACCATGAGAGGGAGACGGGGAGGCCTCCTCCCAACCCACAAAGCTTTCCAGGGGCCACTTCCAGCTTGGTCCGTGGCACCACCCCGAGTGAATTTGAAGTGCATGGCCAGAAGCACCTTTCACGTCTATAATTATTGTTGCCTCAACCCTCTTTTGCAAAGATCAGTGTCTGTTCTGCTTCCTCATCCTTTGGGAGAGGCAGACGGACCAGATGCTCCAGTTCTCATGGCTGCTTTGCACAGCTCTGGTTGGAGCCTACCCTGAAAACAGGGAATTCCCCCAGCAGGGTAACCCTCAGGTGGCCTAGAGATGCCACAGCAGCTCCTGAGCATTAGTGCGACTGTGGCCAGAGAAAAGAGGGCCATATTCCCTGCACAAGGACTCGCCGTCTGACCTCGGGCCGAGTCACGTAACCTGCGTGTCTCCGTTTTCCCACCTGTGAAGAGGTCACAACAGTGAGCTCACAGAGGTGTTGTGAGGACTAACCAGGCCACGTTTGTGCAGCTGGCAGAGGAGGGAGAGGCTTGAAGAAGTGGTAAGTGTTAGGGGAACCGAACTGGGCTCATTTATCTGGCCCCTCTCTAGGCACCACTTATCACCTCTTGTTGAGACAATGGAACAAGATCCTGATGAGCAGTTCAGAGCTTTGCTGCGTGGCTGACAGAGGACCAGCTAGACCCTAAATGGGGTGGGGGAAATCAGAATGGATTTCATAGCATGGTTTTTGTTCCTTCAAGCCACTGGAAGGACCTGGCCTAGAGCAGCAAACTTGCCAAGAAGACTCCATCTCTGAACCTGATAGTGGCTGGCATGGCTCATCAGAGCTCTCTCAAGTCATCCTCCAGCCTCCTGCATCTCTGAAAAGCTGCTCATCAACTGTGTTTAAAAAGGAAAAGCGAGCAAGCGAGATACTAAATATTGATTCCCCTCTTGAGAGTCTCTGCCATTTACTCATTTAGAAAAGAAACATTCCATCTGTTTGGGGCAAGGGAAGGAAAAGAAGAAAAATATCTGTTCAACTGAGAGCAGCCTTGGAACCTGTTCAAAATTTTTTCAGTGAAATTGACACTCTCTTACCCCTTCATAGAGGGCAATTAACAAAACAAACACAGACAAAGCCTGGGAATTGTGACTACCAGATTTCCAAGTGGAATACAACGTAATAATGCCCAGTAATTGAAAGCCATTGGGCCTAAGAATAAGTAGAAAGGAATAGAAAAAGAGGGGACATGTGTAGAGAGAATCATAGAAAATGTAATGAGCATGGCCAACAGTTGAACCTCCCTGTATTAATTTTCCTGGACAGAATGATGACGCTGTCCATGATTCTTCACCAGCACATTGTAATATGGAGGGTCTCTCTGCAGGACCATGGCCCTGACAATAATGGAGTCATACATGCGTCAGTGACACAATCATCCTTCAGATACGACTCCTCCACAAACGTCTGGCTGTGGCCGCTTGCGTTTGCGTCCCATTGTGTCCTGACACCCACACCCCTCTTTTTTGTTTTATACAAACGCACAGATACATTCATCCTCAACAGAGATAATTTGCTCTTGACAACAGGGTGCTCAAATTGCCTGGCTCACACTGTCTGCTTGAAAGCAGCATGTCAACGCGATGTTAAACATAGGGGTTTGCACCTTTCAGAATACTGCACTTACATTACAAGCTATATTTGCCCCGTCCCATTTTCTGTCTAAATCAGTTAGGCCTCGCAATGCTGAGCAGTGCAATGTCTAAATCCTTGTAAAAATCTGGGCCTAATTCCTTAATTGTTCTCCAGTCAAAGCCACATGCAGAAGAGAATTCTAAATCCCCTCCCCACATCCCACCCTGAGTCTCTTGGTCACACCCTTCAGCAAGTCCCATCCCAATTAACACTTTGCTGACATACCCTCCTCTGACAGGACTGGCGGACATCCTCTAGCTCCTCTTCCTTGTCTTCCAGCTCCTTCTGCTGCATCTGCTTCATCCGTTCGATTTCCAGTTCAAGCCGCATGTGGAGCTGAGGAGGCCCAAGACAAAGAGCTCTAGATCAGCCGGGGGAATTGTTACAAACTCTCCCAGCGCTTCCCCAGTTTACTGACCAGGAAGGAAATTGCAGCACATTTCCTTTGAAGATTTAAGAAGGATGCCAGGTGGGCAGCCCAGGCAGCGCAAATGCGTGGGAGAGGCACAACTACCTATCACATCCTAAAATATATCTCAGATCCCAGACCTCACTGCCAGGGGGACTTCGCATGACAGAAACTGCCAGGAGCTCAACGTTTCCAAGCAGAAAGCTGATGAAGTTACCACCTGCATGCGTCAGCCTTTCACAGTGATGTGCTGCTATCACCTTGCAAGACTCAGCCATAACAATGCAAACCACCTGTTACCCATCAATTGAATGGGTTTCTGAGCCTAGGGCTTGATAAGGAAACTACTGAATCATATTAAAATAGTTAAACAAGGAGAAGAATCAATACACTGAACACTGAGTTTCTATAAGGTGAGAGGCTGCAGAAGACCCTAACAATCAATCTCAGGTTGGGGAGCTGATTACTTGTTCTGCGCTTCTCAGGGTGGCTGGAGACCACTGCAGCGCCTTGGACCTGCTGGATAGAATAGCGTCAGGAGGAGGAGATCTTACCTGTTCCAGCTGCTCAACAGCATTCGCATGTCGGCTCAGTTCTTTTTGCTGTTCAGCAGCACTGGACTCAAGCTCCCAAAGCTTCTTCCTTAGGGTAGCCACAGCATCCCCGTCCCAGGCCTCCGGGGCGGTGAGCTCCTGCACGCGGGTGGCCAGCACTGCAATTCGCTGATTCAGATTAGAAGTTTCCAGGTCCTTTTGCTGTGCGGGGGTGAGAGGGGGAGAAAGTTCACAGCTGTAGAGGGTCCGAGGAGGCCCGTTAGCCCCGTCAGCAGTGCAGCCATCTGCTTCCCCAAGAAAACAACCTCCTGGGGCTGGACTGAGAAACCAGAACATGTTGCGGGTGTGTGGATAATTTCAATTCAAATGTGACAAAACAGCTTTCACTGAAATTTGGAAAATTTTCAACCTGGCTTGTTAGGAGCCTCTCGAAACTTCCCTTTTAGTGATACACAGCGAAGGAGGATACTGGGAAGGGATGAGGCATTCTCTCTCTCATGCAGCATCTAAACAACCATAATGATAGCCGTTAACCTTACTTTGCAATCGGCTACAGACACCCTGGGGATTCGACTCGTGACAGTGGCCCCTGCAAGGGATGGAAGGTGGACTCTGAGCGTATCTGATGCAGCAGTCACTCAATGAAAATAACTATCACTTCTTCAGACTGCTCCATTGGCCCTCAGGCACTGCAGGATCTACTTCTTGTTTTAAGACACCCTCCATGAACCCGCGCACCTAACTCGGACCAGTTCATCTGAGCAGTCCTTTTGTCTCTCTCTCTACTCCTCTCTAGCTCCCTCCGCCCACCCACCACTGACCTCTTCTCTTACTCCCACATGAGGTCACTCTTGCGGGTGTGACAGCGCCTTCCTAGCAGCGCCTGCCATCTGGTGCTAACTTCTCTCCATTGCTGGCCCTGCATCTCATTTCGGCTCTCCACTGAAAGCATGCCCTCTCTCCTTTGCCTAGTTCTCTTAATTCCCTTCTTCCGCTGCTGGTCTCTGTTCTCTAACTGTCATTGTAGTGCTCAGCTCGGTAAGGATTTTTGGGACATGAGGGGTATGAAAGTTTCTCTAACAAAATAAAGCTGTGTTGCATTATCACAAGCTTTGATGGACCTGCCTCATTGATCAACTGGCATTCTGAATACCCTCAGTGACTGCAAAATTTCCCCAGCAGCTATCGTATCTCAGATTCCAGAATAAGAGCTACGTCGTATCAACAAACACTATCAATACCCTTGACTAAAGCTAGAGATCTTTTTAGAGACTCCCCTATGATGGATCTGCTAAGGAAAGGATTACAGCTGCCATCAGCCCCCTCCCCACTGTATGCCCCTTTCCTCCTGGCCGGATAAGGGCAAAGATCCTGAACCAGGTGGTGGCCGGGCTCTGTTTGGAAGTGGCAACCGCATGGCAAGCCAGGAGCTGCAGAGAAGCTAGAGACAAAGAAGATATTCTCCAGGAACTGAATGCAGAGCGGCTTGTGGAACCGGCTGTGACTGACAGACGTTTCAGCTGGGGGCAAGTCTGCGTGGGACTTATGGGGAAGCAGCAGTGGCTAGGCAGGAAGCCAGGGCAGAGGAGCCCCAGTGAGTCTGTCCTGGGAAACTGCAAGCTGCTATTTGCGAGAATAGACTGGAGAGGGTACCCCAGGCAGTAGTGCTGAAGAGCTTTGAAGAGCCATCAGTTGGATGGCCCCCAGGACGCAAACAGGAAATACTATCACTCCCTTTGAACTTTGTCTACGCCTCTTACCTAAGGTATCTGCAACCTTCCCCTTCCCTGTCAGCCCTAGCAAAATACCCTTCCCTTAGCCATGTGCCTGAGTGGTTATTGGGACCCACCAAGGCTAGCATCTACAAGGTCTAGCTGCTGAAGCACCTACAGGGCGTGCCTCCAAGTCAGAATACACCTGGCACCCTACGGCTTTGGGGTCCTCCATTACTGAGCAGCCCCAATATTTACACCCCATTCCAAGTAAACAAGGGCAACTTCCGTTTGAAAATACCCTTCTTCTACTTCTCTCTTTACACCAACAGGGGCTGATTTAACAGTCGGTTGCTCCCATTCTACGCCGTCTTCAAACTCGGAGTTACGCCAGCATAAAACTGGAACAGTGATGTGCTGATTCGGGTCCCAAGATCATTCCCACAATGCCTTGGGGCCCCAGTCCTGCCACTTGTTACAGACAGACTTATGGAGAGACCCCGAAACCTGGGCAGAGCTCTATTTACTTCAGTGGGTTTCTGTGTAGCAGTTGGGTTCCTTGTCTGTCAGAGGAGCCTGATATGGGAGAGCCCTATGCATCCTGCTATGTGCTAGAAGAAATCGCAGAATAAAGACGTCTCTAGCAGGGTGACTGGTGTCTAACTATCATGACTGTAATTACAATTATAAGAGCTTTGCTGGAAGATGCCAGTTCTGCAGAGCAGCCATACAAGCAAGGGCAAAGTGGGATATTTTCCTCTTACCTCTAACCTCCGCTGAAGTTTACCCAGCTCCCATCTGATGGTGGTGTTCTCCTGGGTCACTTTTTCACGAAGGCTCTTTTCAAACGCTGACTCTCCCAAGGCCTGGGCTAGCTGCATGTCAAACCTGCCACGTGTGACACATCCTCATTACTGCTTTACGGACAACAGCCTGGACAGGAACATGACTACTAGGGAGCATTAGCAGGGGAACCGCTCCAAAGGAGAGGGCAAGACAGTGGCAATTAGCATCCACTTGGCCTTGGACTTGCCAAGTGCTTCCGAGGTGAACTCAACTCATCAGGGGCCACATAATAGATCTAGAATCTGCAGAGTGTTGCAATCATTTGGTGAACTGTTAATTACTCCATTTAAGTGGTGGCCTCATGAAATTGAAGGCTCCCGAACTGCAGCTCTGCACATTTAGCCCTTTGCACATACACACCTAAAGCCGCACTCAGCAAAGAGCAGAACATTAACAAGAGCTTTAAGTGGCCATTACTAACGTGAAATACTTTAAAACACTCAGACAGGCAGAGTAAGCCTGTGCATGGAGTCTGCCCTGAACACGCACAACATTGCCGGCAGTTCAGAGATCAGCCTCTTGTGCTGACCCTAGGACTCCGCACTGCCCTTTCCGTGCTACGAACCTTGAGATTTCAGAGCACTAATTAGGTGATTAAACTTTCTTGACTTGTTAGTAGATATGGGTCTGACCCAAACCCCTCAGATCTAAACTCAGGATCTGAGGTCCATGGAGATAGTAAAATGAAGGATACTGGCAATGAAATGTTTTGAAAAGAACACAGAGGGAGCCGATAATTCTCTTTTTCTCTGTGCTGTGATGCAGAAGACTCAGTCTTGGTCTCTCACTTCCTTGGGAGGAGGCAGCACCCCACTTCCTTCACAAACACCTCTTTGGCCAAACAATAAGTAGCAGGACTAAAGCGTTTTGCACCCATTTCTTGGCTAGAAAACGGTGGCAGTGGTGCAGGAGTTGGAACATGGGCTCCAGGGCTTCCTTCATCCCACTCAAGGACATACAGGATTTTGCTCCCAGCATGGGGGACTTACATTGTCAGGGGCAAACCCAGAGATCATCACTAATGGTAGATCTTTAATACGTGCAGATCTCCAGGTCCTGGCCACTGCCTCTGAAATGCAAATTCTTTGCTGCATCTCAAGAAGTAGTCACCACCTTTGAGGAAAGGGGGTGCCCATCCTGCCTCACCTTCTCCGTGTCCTTTAAAATGCAGTACGCAGCGCTCTCAAATTTTCCTTACAGAACAATGTTTATAATGGAAATGTGTTATAGTTACACGGCAACAGAACATATTGCCTGGCACAATATCCAACATTCAAAGCAGGTGAAAATAAACAGCCCCACCAGGAATGTCAGCCTCCAAAAGAAAAAACAGTGTTTGAGGCCTACTTTAGGATTCACAATTCGCTTGCTACATGCTATAGGGTGGTTGCCTGGTGCCCTTTAATGGAGATAGTATTTAAACTCTGGGTATCAGAGGAATCACAGCAGCAGCCTCTGCCTTCCATGGGGGTTCCCTTCAGAAGATGTTCCTGATTTCGTGTGACTAGCAGCCTTTGGCTATAAACGAACTTACATGTTGTCGTCTCATTAGTATTCGTCTCAGAAAAGACAATGACTGCCTCACTGGGTCAACAGCTGTCATATTTTCAGAGATCAAAGTAACTCTTGCTTGGAAGGCTTTTTGTGTGAGGGCGTCTTGCTGTCCATTACCCACTTCTTAGGCTCCATCCCCATTTTTAGTGGCTGGATGGCTGGCCTTGCTTCTGCTTAACACCGATTGCTCTAGGAGCTGACCCCAGTATATAGATCAGAGAGCTGGGGTCCCCAAGAAGGGACAAGTGGTAGGTTGTTGAAATGTTCTGATCTCCTCAGGTTGTTGGCTAGCGCTGAGGCTGCTGGGAAGGTCTTGATCTCAGGATCTGGCACAAAGCCCCCCCCCCCCACACACACACTTTCTTATTGCTTCAATGGAGAAAACCATCACACCCTGAGAAATGGGGTCTCCTGTTCCCTCTAGCGGCAGGCTGGGCACACCCTGTCTGGCTGCTGAGAGGGAAGGGTCTGGATTCTGTGTGTGCTCGCAGCACAGGGCTGGTGAAGCAGACACTAGTCCCCAGATGAAGGGCTAATCTTTCCAACAGCAAACACAGTCAGAGAAGTTTAAAACAATGGTACAATGTAGGGCTTCTTCCAGGCTGGTGCAGCACTGGAAAAGGAAATGTGGGACAACTGTCAGACAGGGAAGTGATGGTTCCAAAGGCCATGAACACAATACATTTCTAACCCTGCAGAATCACTTGGGGAGAAGCTTTTGGGGGCACCTCTGGGCACTGTGGAGCTCAAGGGGATAAGGTATCTCTAGGCCAGCTCTAAAGCCAGAGCTGCCTCTGATGGCAGACCCCAAAGCTAGGTCCCCACAATCTTACTTTTTCTGTTTCTTCTCCAGTTCATGATTGCGGCTCTGCAGACTTTCCATCAGGACCCGTGTGTCCTCCAGATCACAGGTCAAGTGTTTGCACTTCCTCTTCATCTGCTGTGCCACCTTCTTGGCACCCTCATAGGTGCTTTGCACCTCACCGAGCTGCAGAGCAAACAGCAAAGAGAAATATCAAGCTGAAATTTCTGCTCAGTGATAACCGGGGGGTGAAATTCACCATTTAGGGGATTCCCAACCTGCAACCTGCCTAAGGCCTCAGTCCATCTGAGAGAGAGAGAAGGCTGAACCAAACACCCCAGTCCAAAAGCACCCAGGCTTTGGGGCAAGTCTGGATCCCTGCTCTGAACTTTGCAGCCAGCTCACCAACCTCTACGATGGGCTGAACCTGAACCCCAGAACAAAACACCCTCTAGATTGGTGAGAAATTCAGAGCTGAAGCTGAACTTTGCAGCTCAGACCTACTTCTCCTGGCAAAGCTCTCCCAGGCTGAAATGCATCCTGTGCAGACCCCAGCAGAAGGGCCACCTAGGTGCCACTTAAATCTAACAAGGCCAAGTCACCACCTCCCTCGGGGCTGAAGCGGGACTTATGTGGTGCTAGGCCTTGTGCTAGGGCTCTATCTAGGGACGCATTTCGCCGTCCGGAGGTCCCTTTTCCAGCAGCAGTGATTCAGAATGATTTAACCCTTGCTACTCTGTGTCTATGGGGGTGAGTTCAGGATGGCATAAATGCCAGTTTGGACCCAGTCCCCTCTGGCTGCGATATTTAAGAACATTGACTCTCATCTTTGATGTGAAAGGGAGCCTTTTAACTTACTACAGTGGAAAAACGTTTCTGCTAAGGATCCGCATTGGGCTCGGGAAGAAGAGAAACCCAGAGCGCTCACGAATGAAGAAGTGGAGTCATTAAAGAATAACTTTAAATAAGCAAAATGTTGAGTTAATGAAGCCTGTAATACTGAACTAAGTATCTGAAAGCAAATGGGCTGTTTTCTTTCACCCCAGCGCCTTAGAATTCGTTGCAATATTATAACTTTTTAATGTACCGTGAAGGTATTTATTTCTGTATTTTGCTCCTAATGGCAAGTGAGCTGATTTTCTAAGCTGCTGTAAAGAGAGAACCACACTCTCAACATGCCTCTGTGGCATTGTGAGCTCTTCCTAGAGCCAACATCTGCCCATGAGGCCTATGGCAACGAATACGCCTTGATCAAACATTGGAGAGGTGTGGACTTGGTTTTTAATGTAGTCTAGCACGTCAAATGTCATTCCAGTTACTAAGAAGATGTGGAGATGAAATGTATCAGCTCCTTGATGCAGCTCGAGACATGCGGAGGCTTGGTCATGGCTCAGGGCTGCATGAAGGAGAGGACTCTAGTTCCATTGCCCCAGGACGTTGCTATGTTCAGGTTTCGATTCTTTGCTTTTCTTTCTTGACCAGCACAAGCCAAAATGTACAAAAGTGGACAGTGATTTTGGTTGTCTCCATTTTTGTGTGCTCCACTTGAGACATGGTCCAGGCTGTCTCCCACCCCCAGGGCCTTCTTGGTGCTTCAAGACAAGCACCCACAAAATGGGACAAGCACCCACAAAACAACCTGTCATTTTTTAAAACCGGGGCCACATTTTCCCAACACAACCGGCACTCACTGGGAATTTAAGGCCCTGCAGGTGTGTACGTGTATCTTTTTATGCATATTCGCACATTTTACCCATGCTGAATTCTGATGTATTCTTGTGTAAATGCAACTTTACAAAATGGCTTTGTTTTTTTCTCAGATTAACAAAGACTTGGTGATTTTTCTCGGGCGGCAAGAGTGTGACTGGGGAGATGTTATTATTACACATCTAAGAGCACAATCCTACAAACCCTTACTGACAGAAGAAATCCTTGCTCACACAACTAGCCCCATGGAGTTAGATAGGCACAGAGGCGGCCCCAAAGCTCTGCAAACAAATTCTAGAGGCTGTGTCAACCCCCATCACTAGTGGCAATAGTTTTACCATGACAACAGATTTCTTCCAGCTCAGGACATTCAGGATGTGAACTTGCTGTCTCCCCTACCCCACCCAAGCAGCTCCCCACTCACGTACCCAACAGAACAGGAACAGCGCTGACCTCTCAGCACTTACCTTTCGCTCCAGCTCTTCCCTACAGTTCAGTTCAGACTCCAGCCTCTCTTCAAGCTGTGCAAGGCGTTTTTGGAGAAACGTGATTTCCGTCTGAGCACAGTCAAATCGCATCTGCCACTCCTCATCTGTAAGCAGAAAGCGTGCCCAGGTAGCAGCCTGGAACCAGGCAGCAAGCACTCTAAGAAAGCGAATTCCCTTTTGACATGAGTGAAGGGATGTATTCAACAAGTCAGCTAGCCAAATGCACCACCTCCAAGACAGTCTGAGAACGCTGGCACGATGCAGGTGCACTGCACAGTGCTGACCCGTCAAGGACAGAAAAACATCTCCCTCACGGAGTTCATGTGGATCACGAAACTCTCCGGGTATGCGACCCTGCAGTTAAACACCTGCAGCTGGCCTGTGTCAGCTGACTCAGGCTTGGGCTACAAGGCTGTACCATTGCGGTGTAGACATTCGTGCTCAGGTTGGCGCTCTGGCTCTGGGGCCCTTCCCCATCGCAGGATCCCAAAGCCTAGGCTCCAGCCTGAGCCCCCACCTCTACACCACAATTGTACAGCCCTGTAGCCTGAGCCCTGCGAGCCCCAGTCAGCAGACACAGGCCAGCTGCGGGTGTTTATTGTGGTGTAGGTGTACCCTAGGGAGCTACGCCTTTCCCATCCAGTAACCTCAACTGTGCCCTCGCCACGTCACAAGGGATGTGACTGTCTGTAAAACCCTCTGGTTTAAATACTCCTGACACTTCTGGAGCGTGGAGTCTCCCGGGCAGCAAAGAGAAGCACCAACGGCTACTTGGGCCGACACACTCGGTCTCCATCCTCGCTCGTCCTGCACTCCGAAGCCGTAGCAGCAGTGATGGGAGAAAGGAGATGTCACTCCCGAGCTATGTCAGACCGGGCAATCTAGAGTGACAGATGACGGCAAATATGCAGCTGGGTTAAAGGTGGTTGGTGGCAAAGTTCTAGGAAGGGAATAGCACTGGGGGTGTCCTGAAACTCCCAACAACCAGACAGATGCAAATGGGGTAAAACTGACAGGACACTGGGGGCCCCATTCAGACCTGGGTTACAGAGGTGCCATCCCCCTGAACACAACAGGGGTGCAGCCATTTACACCCGGTCTGAGTTTGTCTCTGAAGCACATCACTGTTCTGGACGGTTAGTGCTCCCTACCTCCAGCAGCGCCACTTATCCCAATTTCACGCAACTGAATTTGCTGCTGAGCTTCTTCCAGCTGCTTGTCCACGGACTCCAATTTCTTCTGCACTTGGTCGTATTTACTCTGAAAGGAAGAAGTGGGTCAGCTCCTACCAGCTGCAAGCAAACTGCACAGACCAAATGGAACCAAAACTGTCTTCCCCAGCGCAGCCACACTCCCAGGTGTGATCCTGACAGGAAAGGTCCCACTAGTGCCCGCTTTTCCACTAGCTCTGGCTTAATCAGAAATAAGAGATTCCAGCCCTGGCAGCTGGACTCACACTGTCAACAGTGAGTGAAACTAAGTATGAAACTGAAATAAATAATAATGAGATCATATGCACTCATCCCTAGTGCCTTTCCTCCAGGATTTCCAAGTGTTTCACAGACAAGGGCAAGTGCTGTCTTCACGTTACAGGTGGGGAGCACGGGCCACAGAGAGGAGAAGTGACTTGACCAAGGTCCCAGTGAGTTAGTGGCAGAGATGCATACAAAACTCAGGTCTCTTTCCTCTCAGGCTGTGCTCACACTAGGCCACTCACCCCTTGACTGGCAGCTGCCCAAAGAAGTGAAGGTTCCCAATGTTTCTCACAAGTCTCGGTACGCAATGGCTGGTACTGTGTTTGCCCTGATAACCAGCCCCCAGAGTGCACTTCCCCATCAGCGCAGACTTGAGCCCCATGGCTGGGCACTCTCTGCACAGTCACAGCGCTACTGGTCCAAGTGAAAGGGGGCCGTGCTGCTCAGTGCCGGAGGTGCATACTGGGCTGCCCTCAGCCAGGAGCTGCTCTGCTGGGGAGAGCACAAACATGCCACCTTGGCCATGGCCAAGCTCTTCAAGCCTGACACTCACCTGCAGTTCTTTTATCTCTCGTGACCCCCGGAGCCGCTCAGCCCGTTCACCTTCTAGGACCTGGCAGGCCGCTTCGCCTTTGAACCGCTCGTCTGAGAGTTCGGTTGTCAAGTCTAAGATCTGGGGGAGCGTAACACAAAGTGAAGTCTGAGCTGGCCAAGCACCTCAGCGCTCTTCTAGGGGAAGCCAACAGAGGTGCCTCGATTGGAACAAGAGTCGCTTTGGTCCCTCTCTGCCTATGAACGGAGCCCGGGCTGAGCTGACGCTATCTGGGTAGCTGACCATGCTCAGTGTCTGAGGCTGGGGCTGCACAACTGACGTGAGGAAGACAAGCTACTGACATGTACTAACAGCTGATTTGGTTTCTGAAGCTGCCCCACTTGTTCTCTGCAGACAGGATCAATGCACAGTATTGACTGACTCATTCTCCTCCTTGAAACATGCTTGTTACCTCCTCTGGAAGCCTGGCTCGAACCTAAGGCTGCCTTGCGCTGACAAGCTGGGAAGTGCAGTAGCTGGAATTGTCTGAGTGCAGAAGCTCCCTGCGGTAAGATTCATTTGTTTGTTTGCTGTACCACCTGCTGCCTCTTATTTGCTCATGCTCAGAACTCTGCTGACTGCACTAGGTTATTTTTTCACCTTCTCTTGTCCTGAAAGACTCAGTAAGAGTTCAGTCTATCCTCCCACACCCCCATACAAACCCACTGGGTCTAGCCCAGTTAATCCAACCTGTACTTTAGCGCCTTGGTCTCATGTTCTTAGCTCCCTTCCAGTCCCCCAGTTAGCTGTACTAAAGACTGTGTTATTTACATACAATGATTATTACAGGCGGGGCTGGGAACGCCACGTATTACTGTTGCCAGACGCTTCCCTTCACAAGACCCTGTTTTCAGTTGCTTATAACTTTGCCAAACTACAACTGTTTGAGCTGAAATTTTCTATGCCATGTATCTGCCTCACGCTGAATTTTACTGGAATTTTTCAGCCAAAACAGTTCAGCCATTTCCAAGAACAAAGCTGGGGAAAATATGTTTTGCCCACATTAAAAAAAAAATCTGGCGACCTTCTCTTTGAGAGCTCTAGCATCCCCATACTTTGGAGCAGTGATGTGAAATTTGGCAGGTGGGTGGATCTTGTGTCCGGGAGGTGCCTTTGGCTATTCCTGTGGGAAAAGTAGGGGAGGGACGAGGGGAGACAGATCTGACAAGGATCTGGGTGTGGAGGGAGAACTGGGACTAGGACTGGCGAGGAGAGGAGAATGGGACTGGGATGACCATCCAGGGATGCGGAAGAGATGGGACAGGGACAGGTTGGAGGGGATGGGGCAGAAGGGTCAAACTTGGTGGAAGTGAGTAGAAGAGTCTGTGCCCACTACAGCACACTCCCTTTCACAGCCTGAATCCGAGATCCCTGAGTCTCACCATCCCTCTGCCATCAGCAATTATCTGTGAAACCCAATGGCAAAATGCCCCATCCCCTCTAGTTCTGGTCCACATAAAGGATGACAACTTACTACTGCTAACGCTTACTCTGTTAGTTCAAATGGCAGAGGTCTGTATGGAGGAGCTGATGGTTCCAACCCAGCTGATGATTCACATGGGTGCCAATATGATGCCACCTGATGGAATTTTTATTTTTTCAGTTTGTTTTTTAAACCTAGAAAATTGCAACCTTAATAATGTTCTTTTAATGTAGGCTTATGCGTGCAACTAGTTATTTATATTACAGTAACCCCTAAAATGTGCACGGCCCTATGCAGACAGAAAAAGAATGTACCGATTGCAAAAGCAGGTGTGAGGGATATGGCATACAAGCAATGTGATTGGTTTAATGACTGGCACATGGTCCATTAGTTCCACATCTTTTGTGTGCGTGTGTGTGTGTGTGTGTGTACGCCCAACGTTCCCATAAGCCATTACTGACTAAATCAACACAGGGTGGATGGTTGTGATCAACAATCCAATTCAGCACCCAGGGGAAGGGAGGAAGGGAAGGAGCAGTCGATACAGGATTTTCCCCCAGGAAATGCACTTGGCTGCTCTTCCCCAGGGATTGTAGAGAAGAGGGGAAAGCATTGGCCAAGGTTCAGGTCGGAGCCGCCTCTGCTTTGCTCCTTGTGGCTGTGTTTCACACCCTTTGCACAGGCATAGGTGCCAGGCACTGGAGGAAAAGGCCCTGCTTCTACAGAACAAGTTGCCATAAATTGGGCATCTCCTCTCTACTTCACACAAACGCCACTTTGGAGTAATTAATTCATTAACATGATCATTACACTGGTGGGAGCCTGGGGACTCCAAACAAAACCTTCAGCCTGTTCCTAGGGGATCTGTGCAAATAACAACAGAAAAACATCTCTGCCGGGAGAGCGAAATCATTCTTTGCTGCTCACATGAAAACATCGTCATCCCCGAAGTGAACACTCATTATTTGCCTGATCAATTTACTGATGCATCCTCAGCCGCTGAACATGTGCAATACAGTGTTACGTGCGTGCCCATGTGCACACGCTCTGTGACCTCAATCCCGAGCCCCACTCCAGTTGGTAGGAGCCAGGATGAAACCCTGGCTCCACGGAAGTCAAAGTCAAACTCTAACTGACTTCAGTGGAGCCAGGGTTTCTCCTGGACCTCGCTCCCTGGCTGGAGGAGAGCCATTAGCTGCCTCTTATGTAACCCCCTCTCCCCTGCAAAGAGTCATGCCGGGAATTCTGCCAGGAAGAGGAGGACAGGCTGGAGGACACTTTGCGCTGGTTATCCCCCAGCTGGCCTTTGGGGCCACAGCCAGATAGGCCTCATATAGAGCAGTTCTGGGGCTGAACCAGCTCCAACTGCAAACGACACCCTCCTTTCCACCCCTTGAGCTGTGCCCAGTGGATACTCAGGACAGCTGAGGGCTGAGGCTACACATGGTCATGAGTTACACACTGGAAAGCAACTAGCTGTTGGAGCAAAATATTTTCATGCAATTTGCCCATTGCAGAAACCATCAGACATCGACTGGGTGCTGCGATTAGGGTTAATCAGGTTTCCGCACTGCTCTCACTGCTCAGGCTGACCAGGGTTAAATTCCAGTTGAAATAATCAGCATGTGGCTACAGGAATAAGACATTAACTGAGAGTGTGATTTCCCCTTTCTGCAATGTCTGTCTGACCAGGATCTGACACTGCAAGCAGACCTGGCTGGCTGGTTCCCCTGGAGGCAGCTGGAAGGCTCCAGAAGTAGAAGTTCCAAACAGATCATTGACTCTTACAAACTGTCCAGAAAAATCAGAAAAGATGGAAACATGCAGGTTTACAACGATTTTCCTTTCCCTATTTGACAGCCTCCCGGACAGCCTTTTAAGGCACTTTACAGCTTGCAGGAGGGCTGTACAAGCTCTCCAGCAGTGGAACAAGTGTAGCTTCGGGAAGTGAATTCAATCTGGGACAACGCAGGATCTATAGATAGGCGGCTCAGAGACCTGGCGAGTAGCAAGGGCCAGGTGGTTATTCATCTCACATACTCCCAATGTGGAGCCAAGTCTGGGACCAGAGTGCAGACTCCTACATTCTGCCCAAGCCAAGCCCTATTTTGTCCTCGGTACATCTCCCAGCCCCTTCTTTCTGAAGCAGAATAACTCTGCCCCCAGCTGCTGTCTCCAGAATCCTGATATCTGCTCCAATGCTTCCACCTTTTTAACATCCCCAGCTCACAACGGGGTCACACTCTGTGCCCACAGATTGATGGGCTATTTTACTGCTTGTCTCCTCCTCTCCTTGTTAGCATTTGTTCCATTAAACTAAGCTACTTCTGGTATCTGCAGACATAGACGCTGGAACTGGGGGTGCTGCCGCAGCCCCTGGCTTGAAGTGGTTTCCTTCATATCCAGGGTTTACAGTTTGGTTCAATGGCTCTCAGCACCCCCACTACACAATCTGTTCCACCCCTGCTGTCTGCAGAGGTTGCTGAGACTGCAGTCTGGAGAGTGAGATGAGAACGTGTTACATTTGTGTACAATTTCTAGTTTGATCAGAGTCCTTGTCAGGAGGCTGGATTTCATCCGTGAGGCCGTTTCTCAGCACCCAAATACCCCTTGTCTTTGGTGAGCTGTGACCACAGGGGATTGCTGCCACTTCCTCACTACCCTTCACTTTGGTTGAGTGGCTGTTACCCTGCCCCTTGCAGCCAGTCAATGAGGCTGCAAACCAGTGGGGGATCTGTGTGGGGGGAGCAGGGGGAAGACAAAGGGGCCGGAGCCAGAGATGTGTGAGCACTGGAGCAGACACGAGAGGAAATGCGAACAGAGCATTCAATGCTGAGAAGTAGATTTGTGATGGCATTTATTAAAGGGGCATCAAAGTGGCCCATGATGAAGCTGTTTTTGAGACACTGGCCCTATGAGGTGGAGGATACCGGAGAACTCTGTTAACACTGGTCATGCTCATTGTGTCGGCCCCTGGGGCTCCAGCAGCACACAGCCCATCCCTCTTACATGAGCTGGTTACCTGCCAGTTACTTCTAATCTCGTGGTCTGTCAGCTGGCATCAGTACCAGGACCTCAAAATAACAGGGAGCCTTTAAAATTGCTCAGCAGCCAAAATAATGGCAGGCAACGTACAACGATTCTCTCATCTGCTAGGAGAGAAAACACCCCTCCCCCCTCAGGTATCCTAATCGAGAACAGCAAACGCTGCCGGCTTCCCCAATGGCCCATGTCATGCACCTGACCTGATCACATTAATCAGTGGGTAATTTTCTTGGTAGATTAAATATAAAATCAACTCTTCAAGGATTGTTAACCCATGTTCAAAAATGACAACATGAGGGTTTTCAGAACCCAGCTCTCCCGACTCCCGGTCGGGCTGGAGAGGAGGACAGGGGAGAGGAGCTGTATGTGGACAGGCATCACAGTATTCTCTCTAAACGATCTGCAAGGTACTGACAGGGAGACAACTGGCACGAGCCCAGACGTGTTTAATACACCAGCAGGTTTTAGACTTGTACGGGCTCTGTGAGGAGTCAGACAATTCAACTTCAATCTTTTGGGACACATCTGAATTTGTAATTGTGATCTAATAAAACCGTACAGGAAAGAGGCACAAAGAGTTAATTTGTCAGAGTTTACCTTGCTTTCCAACAGTTCTGTGTTCTGCCGAAGTTCACTACGTGACTGCTCTGATTTTTCGAGCTTTCTTCTTAGTGCTGCAAGCTCCTCCTAAATAAAATTGCCAAACACAAACTTAGAGTTCTAGCCTCCTTTATTTATTTATAAATCTAGCTTTTCTGTTAAAAATAAGTGGGAGAGACATAATTACCTTATTAAGAAAATTTACTGGGCAAGTTTAAGGGCTGATCGCTGTTAATTGCTTGGAATGTGGTTTCTGACACTAATTTAAATGGAGGGAACATCAGCTTTGGTGTATGCACAGCACACATTTAATTAGAAAGAAGCAAACCTCTGACGCTTTGGATGAGCATCCAAGTGCCTGAATGCTGCTTATCTAATAAATATTCTTGAAACCCCGGCCAGCTATCAGGCAGGAACAGCTGCGAAGACACACACACACTTGTGAGATCCCAGCATTTCCTCTTCTCAGGCAGGTTAACAATATTGCAAGAAGAGCTTTGCCTTGCAGTGTCTTGACCGTTTGATGTCCAATGTTGAACAGAACCAGAGTGCAGAGACATGGTTAAATGCAGACATCAAAGAGCAGCAGGGCCTTTAGGAACCTCCAACAAGTTTTGAGGGATAAGCAAAGGCTTGGGTCAGTTTTCATTTTATCTGACCCAGCTCACACATCCCTAGTTCAAACCTATTAAGGGAGGAGGAGGAACAGCCAAAGCCAAGGAAGATATGCTGAGGGCTTAGCACAAGCCACGAACTGTGAGAAAGATTGAAAGCTGGTTTTACCGGGGCAGTGAGTACCAGTTGAAATAGACTCACTGGGCCAAATGGAGCTATGGTTGGAGCAGGCATCACTCCACGGACATCAGAGAGCTGAGCCTGGTCTGTCAGGGGCGAATGTGGCCTGCTAGCCCTGTTCAGCACTGCAGAGCCCAGTGTTTGGCAGCCAGAAACCAGCTGCTGTACGTGGTCCCTCCATGGCCTAGGTGATCTGCTTCTGGTGGTCCAGAAGGCCAATATTTCAGTGGTTCCTCAGGAGCCTTTGGAGTTGGAAAGAGCATGGGGGGTGGGGTCCCAGGAAAGTACAGTTTCATGGTATGGAGTCTGGGCTCCATGTTAGATTGTTTAGGGCCCCTGGAAAAGGACCTCCATGAATATGGCGCATGGAAAAGTCCCCCTCTTTAACTGCCCCTTCTCCAGGCAAGGTGAGGGCTGCTTCGCACTTCTCCATTCGGATATGAGAGAGAGAGGGGCCTGGACCCTCCCACGTCCCAGTGATGGGGCCATGTCTAAACCAAAGCTAGAAGGGGCCTCTTGTCCAGAACCAGGACTGGGTCCAGTGCTTGTATTTGCATCCAAAAAGCTGGCCTTGCCTTTGTAATGGGCTTGAATTTAATTTCACAGACCGACTTGTCACCTGTGTGTTTTGTTTTATTCTAAGGAGAGGTTCAGATTTCCACTTTCCCCATGTGTCCCTGAAAAGCCTTATTCTTATTTCTGTAACTCCGCTTCTCGGACAAGCTGAAAACACTATCCGGCTCACACAGTGCAGGACTGGAAACAGGATTTAAAAATTGGGTATGACCAACAAAATGTGTCTTTCTTCTGGCAGTAAAACCTACTTCCTGTCTGGCTAGCATGCTGAGCATCCCACTCAGTGTCTTTGCTCTACTGTTACATACGTCTTTGACTCGGAGCTGGTCTTCCACTATGTTCACACTAAGCAACGGCCGAACACAGCTCATCAGCTGCCACCATGGCCAGTCCTTCACCATGTGGAACACCGCCAGATTCTTCTGGATGCACCGAATGGCTAAGCGCTGAATCTGAAATTAGAGCATCAAAAACAATGGCACTCGTCCAGCAATGACATCAGTCTCACTACATTATAGCGAGAGATGAGCAAGAGTTCCAGATGAGTGCTAAAATGGAGCACTTCACCAGAATCGAAACAGGGCATGGCAATGTGCTGCTTCCAGCACAGACAAGGCCGAAGAGCTTGGTATTAAAGAAGATATGAAAGATGTTCCCAACTAACATCAATATGTGGCTTTGGGAATGAATTGTTCATTTCCCAAGCTGCACAGGACTGCATTGCTTGACTTCAGAAAGTCAATACACATGGCCCTGAGCTGTGATTTGACTGGCCCGTGCCTAATTGCTCAGTTACGTTCCATGTGGCTTTGCAAGATTTAGCTTGAAAATTAGAATGTACAAATTAAAAATGAATCCTGCAAACTTTTTAAATACAGTGAGCTGTGTGTCTGTGTGTGCATGCGTTTCGAGAGGCTGTTAATTAATGTTACACAAGACCCAGGAATTCTGAAATATCGGGGCCAGCAAGGGATACCCTACTCACGCTAAGCAGTTTCCCTGGGGCTGCTCACGGTGCTATTCAACAGGAGTACAGGGTTCCTAGTATGGCCCATGATTAATAGGCAGACGTTTGTTCCATCTCCTATTCAATACGATCATTTCAAGCTTTTCCAGATGTATTGACAATGTCCTGCCTGGGGACATGAGGCCTCTCTCCTGCCCAGGGTGACTTAGGGCAAGAGGAGAGAATACAGGAACGCCCAGCCCATTCATGCAGCAGCAGAGCCACAGGTCACCTCCAGTCCAGCTGGGTTCTCCCAAAGAAGTGGGCGACCCCTATCGCATCGCTGAGGCAAAGGAGCACAGGAGGGCAGTTACCTTTAATCTCTTGAATTTCTGGCGGGAGAGGAAGCCCTTGCAAGCTGCCTGGAGCAGAATCATGTTCTGGGATATCAGCTTCTCCCGCTGCTTCTCCAGCCTAGAGACTACGCCCGGCTTCAGGAAAACCTAGGGGCAACGGATGGAAATCGATCACCACCAGAAATGTGGCCTCTCACCAGCATTTGTCCAGAAGGAAATAAGAGCTGCTCTTTTAACCGTGGCTTAGTGACCACCCCTGCTAAAGCCAAAAGGCCATATTCTGGCTTCTGATCTCTGCCCGCCAGCCTTCCGCTGAGATCAGCAGGAGCCCCACACGCGTGTCTCCAGACTCTGGCCCTATGTCTGTAACAATTAATGGTCCATATTTGGAGGGTGGGAAGAGTCCCCCCTCTGCCCAGGGCTGCTGTGCCATGGTACTGCCGTCATGTCCCCCCAGCACAAGGGGGGAGCGTCAGCAGTGAACCCCTCAGAGCTGAGCATGCTGTAGCCGTGCTCATGTCCTGATGGCCCCCCAGGGCCCAGCAAATCCTCACCCCAGATGGATGCTGTCTGAAGGAAGCACAAGCTATGTTTTTTCAGTAATTAAGAATGGGTGCCCATCCCCACCCACTTCGAGGCACTATTCTTGCTCTCTCCAGACACAGCATCTCCACCACTGTCACTAGGGCATCTCTGGCAACTCTGGCTCCGGGAGCCTGAATGGACCCCATTGTATTCAACTTGCAGGTCACTCACTGTTTCTACGGTTTACTCCGTCCTCTCTTTCACGGGTGCATGCCCTAACTCCTATTCAAAGCTGCATGTTGTTGAGACATTGACCATGGATCTTTGGTCATTACCTACTTTATGGGCAGATGACATTGGACTCTCTGTTGCAAAATGTATTTGCATATGCACGAAGTGGTAACATAGAAAGACACGTACCAACGTAAGTTCAGGAAGAAACCAAAGAAACGATGTCATTTACTTTACCTGAGCGTGTTACAAACATGCCTCAAACAACATAGATTGTGCTGATGTATTTGTATTTTGAAAGATCAATAGAAGGCTAAATTCAGAGATCCTGTTCCACCCCTTAGTCAAGCAAAATGCTCAGTGCTTTGACCAATATGATTTAAATACTCCATATTACCCTTTTTATATTGAAAACGAATTATTAAAATAAAACTGTATTTGTGAGCCTTATAATATAATTGAAATCTAGATTTTAAAAGAACCAAAACGGTATCAGAGAGCATTTCCAAGAAAACTGGCTTTCTTGAGATAATGCTCTGATTGCTTCACCCCTATTTGATTGTCTCATTAATGGCTATATTAACTTCACAATCCAGTACAAAAATCAATGTTCACAGTGATGACAATACTAACTCCTATATAACAAGATTTGACTGGTGCTGCTATCATGCTATTGATAAAATATGAGGGATTCATAGAAGAGATAATTGCAAACTATTGTATGCAGGATGAAAGAAAGTTATTCTGCTCCCTAGAATAATTCAATGAATTCTTTTTTTCTCTGTAGCATCCCCGAGACAGAGGCAGCAGTGTATATATAATTAATTTCTCTTTGCAATTAGCTTTAAGTTTGAACGTGTTACTGTGGCAGCTATTCATCTGGAAATGTCCTGCTTGTAGGATCTTAATGGCTTGATGTATAGATCACATCGGGTAACATTTCCAGAAGTGACTGAGTGAGTTAGGAGCCTAAGTCTCATTGATTTCCATCGGGACTTAGACTCCTAGGTTACAACATGGAAGCAAGAAAAATGTCTTTCGCTGTATTAGGTCACTAGGGGATAGGTTCCGAATCTAAAGTGCTCCTGGTCACAAGCCTGGATTTTACACACTTACGACACAAGGACTGTGGACAACGTACCTGACTGTGTCCCACTGCTACACTTTTCTTTTCCAGATCAAGTACCTGGAAGAGCTCTTCTATTGCCTGTAGAGAAAGAGCACATTAAGGACTGGACTGGTGAATTCATTGACCACAGAGACCTGGTTTGACTTGTATTGAAACAACAAGGGAATTGATATATACTATACTCTTGGGGCCAAATCAGACCTGAGTTACCCTCCACGAAAACTGACAGAGAGCTGCCATTTATAACAGGCCTACAGTGTAGTGCTGAGGGGAGGCGGGTGGCCAGATTAATGGTGTAGTCTACAAGGCGCATGGTTTTGGTGCATAAGCACTAGAGGACAACCACAGTGTCCCACATGAGGGATGCTGAGCACCCACAATCCCTTCTGAAATCCAGGGGTGCTTAGCTCCTTTTAGGATTGCCCCAAAAGGATGGGTCCCCTCCTGCTCGCCACAACGCAAACAGGTGTTTTGCCTTTGATTCAGGGAGAACAGAATCAACTCCTTAGTGGTTTGAGCCTGGAGATGCTCAGAGCCCTTCAGGACTGGTCCTTAGAAGCGAAGAGCTGAATGTTCCCCATCAAAGTACAGCACAACTGCACATAAGAGAAAGCGAGACCCAGAACTACAGCCCACTCTAGCCCTGGGCGACTTGAAATGATTCCGTTAGACGCACCCCTGCCCCACCGTGCAAATATCAAGAGGGAATTCTTCTGTAGGTCTCTGGCAAGGATGCATTTTAAACAAGTTTTTATTTTAAAATTGAACCTGTCAGAAAAATAATTGTTAGTTCTTTGCAAAAAAAAGCCTAACGGTCTCACAGCGACTTAGCAGATGGATTTCATGCCCTCACCCCTGCTGGGCTTTGGCTTCACAGACTTGCAAAACGTTTATTAAAAAATATTTCCAAAGCAATGAAAGCAGAAACGACCCCCGTACACAGTGCACAAGGTATGTGCCCTTTTCTTTCTCATTACCTTGCAGCTAAGGCTACGCTGTGGAATCACAACCATGCTGTTATTACCGAGGAGAGCTGTGCCTCTGCAGTATAATGCATCAAACAATACATGTCCCTGTCCAGGTAAAAAATAAGCAGTTTGGTTTTAGGCGTTTTTACTCCCCACGTCTGCTCACATTACTTATTAATCATAAGGTACAAGAATTAGAAGAGCAGTAACTGAACTTATTTTAGGTTTAGGGCTTCCACTATGAAAATCATAACACGGCTGGTTGGAGAATTTTTACAAACCCAAGCTAGTCTTGTCAAAGAGAAGACGGTGTCTCATTACAGATGAAATGTATAGAAATTAATGCCATGCAAAGCTTGGTGGGCTGGGTTTATGAGATTTCAGGAAAAGCTCCCCCCACCTCCCATTTCCATTCAGTTTGGGGTTTAAACAAATCCCAAACCTCAATGCAGAACGCAGCCCAAACAACTGAGTTTTGTATGATTTCACCCCAAAACTCAAAGGGTTTGATTTTCAGCTGTGATGACCAACCTGGGCTCCCAGTGACTTCTAATGGATTTATGACTATTTCTAATAAACAGGGCCAAGTTTGCTCAGGCTCACGTACTTTAACAAATCCTGCAGTGAACCTAGCTCACGATTTGGGTTTGTAACAAACCCTCAACCCAGGAGGCTTCAGTGGTTTGGAATTTGGTGGTGAAAATGTCATTTGAATCCAGTAAGAACATGCTAGTGTGTCTCATGAGTTCTTCAAACATCCCAGTAACAGGGCACCCACAAGCCACTATTTCTGTACTGCCTTCTGTGATGTGCAGTCAGGAGATGAGGGATGTGTCTCAGTACTTTATACTTCTTTTTAATCAGAAACCCTTCCCATATGGATGTTCCCTAAAAAGTGAAAGAAAGGCCCCCCACACTGCTCACAAAGGGCCATTATAGATGGGCTTTCCTGGATCGTGTCTCTGAGTTCCTTTGACATGAAATGAGAATTGATAACTGATTCCACTTCCATTCCCCGGACAGCAGAAAGACCAAAGCAAGAAAGGCGCCGCTGAAGCCGACTTCTGTAATACCGAGGCAAGGTAAGACGAGGCCACTCAGCAGCCTCGGAGGGAGAGAGCTATTTGAAAATATCAGGGGATGGAGTTCTGCACTGTCTTACAAGGTGTCTTCAGGTTTTTGTTGCTTTCTGCAGTACAAAAAGGCTCCTTGACATGCTGGCAATTGGAAAATGTGACATTCTTCAGAGAGAAAGCAGGAGGACTTTCAGAGGCTAGATTGACAGCTTTTAATTATAGTCTTTAGAAGAACGCTCCAAGGACACTTTTCTCTTTGTTTACCGAAAGCCTACACATTTAAGAAGAGCTGCAGGGAGTCTGAGGAGACAGCTCCATATTTCTCACCAATCCCATAAAAGGAGGAGGATGGAGGATTTTCTGGATAGTGCAGATCACAACAACACTCAATAATACCCATGTTCACAAATAATCAAAAGCATGGAACTCAGATGCTCTGGTCTTTCAGTCAAGATAATAAACTAGTGAAAAACAAAGGGCCAAAAAAAAACCCACCTTAGTACACATCCTGATGAGGATGAATATGATCTAAAAGAAGGTGTAAGGGTGCGGACTCACCCCTGCAGCGCCCCCTACTGGTTGCTTCAGGGAATCAGCTAGTCCAGCGTCTGGAGTGCCCTCTGCAGGCCAGTGATCCACCTTGTCCCTACTTCTGGCCCCCATGTCCCTCCCAGGACCCCGGTGCCCCTTGCTCTGGGTGCTGCCCCCTGGCAGTACGCCACCAATCTGGATCTCCCCTCCCTAGGGAACCCCCACCCACTATCCCCACCTTGCCTCAGTACTAGGCCACTGCCAGTCACCAACTAGCCCCCGCTCCCTGGGGCAGACTGCAGTATAGGCCACTCATCACTGGCAAGGGGGGTTTGGACCTGCTGCCTTGGCCTAGCCGCCCTCTGCAACCCCCAGTACCCCTTGGCCTAATACTAGGCCGCAGCCTGGGGCTTTCCAGGCTGGAGCTCCCCAGAGCCTCAGCCTTTCCCCAGCCCTGCTCCACTACAGGTACCCTGTGTCTAGCTCCCTGCAGCCAGGCCTTTCTCTCCCTGAATGCAGAGAGAGACTTCTGAGCTCCTGGCTCCCAGCCTCTTTATACAGGCGTGGCCCAGGTGCAGCCACTTCCCCCAATCAGCTCAGCCTTCACGTTGCCTGCTCCCTGGGCTATCTCAGGCCCTTCCAGGCAGGAGCAGGTGTCCACCCTGCTACAGAAGGTCTGCTTGAAAACCCCAGACCTCCGAGAGTTTTTACCATAAAACCTCCAGTAAAACAACATTCCAGATAAAACCTTCCCAGAATAGTCTCCTTCCTTGTTTAAATTCAGACAGGCACCCCTCTATCACTAGGGACTCATTTGTATGAGAAATATTTAAAAGCCACAGCATTATATGTGACCTCTCTGGAGCGCTCCATAGCCTTCTAGTATACAGGGCTGGCATTAAAGACTGGTTGAAGACAAAACAACATCACTGAGAATCTGGTTCCCAAATTATAAAAAATACGAAAGTCACACCTTTGGCTCACTCCTTTGAAATGCTCTGCAATCTGCAAGATCACAGAACAAAGCCAAGGTTTCATCAGTCATCCATGAAAACGTCAAAAGCCTATAAAAATGGCTATTGATTTAATTCAGGCACCATTATAACATTCTGAACTGAACTGAATCCAGCAGTAAAGTTATTTAAAAAGAACAAGAAGAGCAGAGAGAGAGTATAAAGGCTCAAGCAGGGCCACCCAGAGGATTCAGTGGGCCTGGGGCAAAGCGGGGAAGCTGCGGCGCTTGTACTCACCCGGCGGCGGTCCAGGTCTTCGGTGGCGGGGGGCCCTTCGGTCTCTCCACGTCTTCAGCAGCACTGAAGGGCCCCCCGCCACCAAAGACCTGGACCACTGCCGGGCCAGGGCTCGAGGAGCCCCTGTGGGGCCCGGGGCCTGGGGCAAATTGCCCCACTTGCCCTCCCCTCTGGGCAGCCCTGGGCTCAAGCAGCTGAGGGCCTCAGGAGTTCGGATCCAACACTACACCAATGTGTAATGATTCTGTGACTGCACAGTCTCTCATTCAGGTTGTGAGCAGAAGAGAGTATTGAAAGATCTGCCAGAGTGCTTATTGGAGAACTACGAGAGAGCATTCCCAGATAAGCTACAGGGAACCTAAACTTGTTATGCTGGGTTTATCATGGGTGGAAGTTGCTCTTTGTCTATAGATCTCTCCATATTTTACTCCAGTCTTCCAGGGTCTAATTGACAATGAAAATACTCACATGGATTTCAGTGGACATGGGATCAGAGCCTGACTTGCATACACAGGACAAAACATAACTTTCTATTAGGAGCAGAAATGGTCCTTCAGAGATACAAGTGACCTTGAATTGAAACCATGAGCAGCAGAAAAACCTGCCAACATGGGAACCGGAGAACCTACCAAGGTCAAAGGTCGAATCCGAACTGCTAATTTCCTTGAGGCACCACCAGAAGTCAATACAATTTGTGCTGCTAAATCACGTAGGCAATTTTGAAAATCCCACCCAATATCCATGATGACATCACTAGTTAATCCTAACACCTTTCCTGAAGGTACTGCTCAGTATTTCAAAGAGCTTTCACAATTGTTACAGATATAAAAGCCTGGTTAATTCTCAGTGATGCCCCTTTGCCTTCAGTCATAACATATCCTGTATTTTCAATACCTCTTCTCTAGCATAGCTGGCAAAAAATATTATCTTGCATCACTGAAGATTTCATATCAGTACTTAACTGACACTTCTGCTGAGGCCTTGCAGATTTATGTGGGACTACTATATGTGCCATCATTTTTCATTCACATATAAAAAATGAGAGCATCTTATCGACCTAGCGTGTATGTGAGTGCTCACAAAGGCCTGTGTGTGTGTGAGATCCTATATTTGTTAAAACAACGTGTCAAAGTCTAACAAATCCATTCCAGCATGGAGTTTTGTTGAAATCTGCATTGCTTTGATCTATCTGTATTGAGTTCTGTGAAGAGCTAAGCAGATTTGCCCATGAAAGCTTGACATAAGCTTTCTGGGGGGTGTCAGACCCACTATGTAATGCAATTAGATACCGTATTATTCATTTCTGAGTATGCAACAATGCAAATTCCCATGTGGAGCCAGGATGTATAAAATCTACGAAAAAAGAAAGAGTGCACGTTTTCTTTGGTGCTAGCTTCCGAGTGCTCCGGGTGATTCTCTGAAGTACACATCCTTGCTTCCTCTTCCTCGTTAGGCCCATTCTTAAACAGAATGAGGCCACATTGAAACGTGGCCACGAGATATCTGACTGAGGTCAGGCATGGAGGCCAGGACATGCTCAGCAAATGCAACCTCCTTACATTCCAAGCTGTTGGGGCTGAGGAGTGTGGGGGCAGGAGAGACTTTGTGTTTAGTGCTACGCTCACAAGTGAGTTTTAAATCCGTAAGTGATTATTAACTTTGGCCAAGCGTGAGAGTCAGAATGTCTAAGACTGTCAGCGCTTTGAGCCAGGGACTGTCTTGTCTTCTGTGTCTGCACAGCGCGTAGTGCAACAGGGACCCAGCCTGGGCAACTCTTCTAGGAGCAACAAGGAGTCCGGTGGCACCTTAAAGACTTAGAGATTTATTTGGGCATAAGGTCACTTAAGGTTTTTTACCCACGAAAGCTTATGCCCAAATAAATCTGTTAGTCTTTAAGGTGCCACCAGACTCCTTGTTGTTTTTGTGGATACAGACTAATACAGCTACCCCTTGATACTCTTCTAGGAGCTTCAGTACAACAAATACATACAGAACCAATAACAATAATCTTCATAACAGCAGGATGGGACAGTGAGGGACAGAGACTGCCTGGGGGGAACTGTGCCTGGGAATTGATAACCTAGAGCTGAGTGAATACTGTACTATAGGTAGAGCTGGGCAATGTTTTTTGTACAAAACATTTTTTCAGAGAAAAACATAGATTAGGTGACCCCCAAACGTTCTGCAAATTTATGTTGGTTTCACCTAATTGTTTCAGTAAATCTAAATGCCAAAAAAATCAAAATGATTTTTTGGTTCAAAATTTCCTTATTTAAAAAACAATACACATGATTCAAAATGCTCCAAACCCAACCAAAATGTTTAATTCAACCCAAAACAGGTTTTTTTAAATTTCAACGCAACTTTTCCCCCCCCCAATTTTTTGGAATTGCCAATGCAATTTGGTTATTTTCCAAGCTCTAGTTACTGCATAGTGTGAGTGTTTTAGAGGTGGAATCAAAATACACATTTATACTGCAAAGGCCCAATGCTGCGCTCCCTAATCAACGATAAAACTCCCATTAACTTCAGTTTGTGAAGGATTGGATCGTACAGAGAGAGTGTGCACACTGAACTCAAGAACTCAAGAACTCAGAAAAACATCTCTTCTGCTCCAGTGGCTGAGTTAATGCAACTAATTGCAGCTTAATGCAGACTTCCTATAACACAATGTCATTACAGCCAGCACCAGGGAGGATGAATTTTCCCAATCCCCTGCTTACACTCTGCTGACTCGTCAGCCTCTGTCTTCTTACAGCATTTAATAACAATATTGACCATTTCCAGCCGTCAAACTTGTCTGATAAAATCCTGAGGTCTGAACTGACTTTGCACACTGAGTTTGCACAACAGAGCACATCTATGTATAATTTATCTCCTATCGGCCTTTCCAGACTTTGAATATTTATCAGCTTTTTCATAACAAGTTACATTCCCTCGCCCCCCATTTTCACTCAAAATCTATGTGGGAGCAAATGAAATCTGCAAGCAAATAAACCAGTAGGTTTTATTCCTAAGCATCCTTCTCCTTTCACACTTCTTAGGGGAAGGGAAGAGTAGGTTGGAGCTGGGATTTTCATAGGCTCCTAAGACAGTTTGGCTCCCAACTGCCACAGAATTTCAATGGGCTTTGGGCACATCCTTGGAAATCCCTATCCTCGACTGATAAGCCGCTCTGGTTATGCAGAGAGCTGCAGCTTCACTTTTCTGCTATGTTTATTGCACGTGGTGACAGGCTGACCTTGTTGCATCATTTTCCATCAGATCAGACCCTGGCCCCATCCCATAACACTCATGAAACTGATGAACCCCATGAGAAGTGTCTTGGTGAAGTCTTTGCTACACAAAAGGCAAGTGGGTGACTGACATGGCCATTAATGAGAAGAAATGGAGAGAGACGTTGATGATTAAATTATCCACCTTCCCTTCTATAAACGCTGCCTTATTTTCTTCTCAGACACCCCCAGCTGCAGAAAATCTATGGGTGACTCCCCCTCTGTGTTGGGTGAAGGCAGAGGAAAAGGGAGCCAGTCACAGTGGCCAGGCCCAACCACTGCAGGGAGAATGGGAATCTGGGGTGATTTGTCACCACGCTAAAGAGACAGGCGGTGCTACCCTCAGTCAATACAACACTCCTGCACAGGCCAGGCTGGGATGGTGGATGGAGGAAGCATCACCTCAATGAAGCTTATGCAGCTGTAGTTTCCATGGCTCTCTCAATATAATCTCGGAGGCCGTTGTGGGTTTCTTCACAGGTAAACAGAGCCCGCTCTTTGGCTGAGGGCTAACGAAACAAGTCCCTCTGCACTCAGGGGTTCCCTGACAGTGACCCTTTAAGCTTAGGTCTGGCAGACAAACTGCTGCTGCTGCTACTGGGAGCTTTGGTCTGCCCCCTCTGCCCGCTCCATGCCGAGGCTGTTTGCTGGCAAGCTGAGACCATCCACCCACCCACCCGTTTCACCTTCCACAGAGCGTATGGAACCCGCTGTACAAAATAAAGTTACACTGTAATGTAAAGGGACTGCAGCCCAGACCACTGCAGAATAGGGGACCAGCCAGCCCCCCACGAGCAGGACTTTTAAATCAGTTTACACTGCTCTCTGGTATTTAAGGAGGAACAAAGCAAGTTTCATTTCCAAGTTGGTTTCTCCAAGGCCTCTTCACTGTGCAATGACAGGGGCAAATGCTGATAGCGTGACCAGGACTCAGATTGTCTATTGCATTTGTGAAAACCCCATTCTAGTGAGGAGAAGCACTGGGACTAGCCAGGATCCTTGCTGCTGTTCCAGTCAAGTTCAGACAGATGCTAAAGTACTCAGGTCACTAGACCCTCATTAACCAAAGGGAAGGATGAAGCCAAGAAGAATGGAGAGCTGCCCTCCACGAGCCAGAGAGGGCAATTTAATCCCCATCTCTGCATTGCGCCACGTGAAACATGCCAGAGCCTTGCCCGGAGTATCTAGATCTCAGTGCACGAAAGCAGCATGAACTCAGGCGCTCTTCTCCCCATGATTAATCCTCAGCTGAGAACTACAGGGGGGAATTAGAACGTCTCAGGCTTCTGAGCTGAATACTCTGGCTGAATCAATGGCTGGCTAAGAGGAAGCTAGCAGATGAATCTTGGTTCCTTTGCTACTGTGCCGATGGTTTGTCAAACTCAGCCACGCCCCAGTGATGCCAGCACCAGCCCATATGCAGCCTCTGCACGTTTTGTTTATGAATACTGGGCTCTGGCGGCTCATTGCCTGAACAACCCATGGGCTGTGTCTGCAGATCCATGGGCCTATCGCTTCACTCGCAGTGTTGCCAGCTCTTGTGACTTTATAGTCAGTCTCGCTGTATTTGGTGTTTTCTTAAAGCCCCAGCTCCTGCAGTCAAGTCCTTACTTGAGAATCTCAGCTTTCATCTGTGTAATAAAAGCAGCTCCCAGCCCTGGTGGCTGCAGAGAGAAGATTGAACACATTCGCGAGTACAGCTGAAAGGCTCAGAAGCCAGGAGAGAAATAACAAGAAGCCCAACTAGACTCTTTTTTCAACCTTGTGAATGAATGCTTGCAGCTGGGAACGCTGCATGAGAGCGGATCTGGCTGCAGGTCACTCCCTCCCCAGCAACACACTGTGGGCAATCCACGCACCTTATTCTCATCTGGTATTTCATATGCTGATGTGTATTTCTTCATCACTGGCTGAGCCAGCACCTGGAAGCGGCGTCGGAACTGAGTCAGCACCATGCGATCCACGTAACCTGGGAGAGACATAGAGGAGTAGAGTACAGATTTCAGAAAGGGGTGCTGCACGTTAGCTAATTAGTGAATCAGAATGGGGGCAAGTCCATCGATCTCTACGGAAAACAAAAAACTGGGAGCAAATAATTCTCCTCCTCCTGGGGTGACAGGTTATGCTGGGGTGGCTGGTGGAGAACAACATAACTTTCTTTCTGTTTTACAAAAAGCCTTCCAAAAAGCAGAGAAAGAGAGAGAGAGGGGGGGGGGGGGGGGACCGCAGGGGAGAACATGCTAGTGCAGGGGTAGGCAACCTACGGCACACGTGCCGAAGACGGCACACGAGCTGATTTTCAGCGGCACTCACGCTGCCCAGGTCCTGGCCACTTGTACGAGGGGCTCTGCATTTTAATTTAATTTTAAATGAAGCTTCTTAAACATTTTAAAAATCTTATTTACTTGACATACAACAATAGTTTAGATATATATTATAGACTTATAGAAAGAGACCTTCTAAAAACGTTAAAATGTATTACTGGCACACGAAACCTTAAATTAGAGTGACTAAATGAAGACTCGGCACACTGCTTCTGAAAGGTTGCCAACCCCTGTGCTAGTGCAAGGGATTGAAATGGTAAGAGAGAAAGCAAGGCCTGGGGATGCTCCCCAGGAAGCAAGGCTGGGTGACAAGAAGGGACATGGGCTTGCGAGCATGTTATGTTATCTCGGCACCACAACCTCTCAATGGAGTGACAGCGAAGATTGCTCACCTTCTATCTACAGATGGATAGACCTTATTGTCCATTTAAAAAGGCAGTGACAACTTTACTGCCAGCTACTAACGAGACCTGTATGGCCCCTATTGCTGGGGCATCTCTGCACCTCACAATCTATCTGTGAGGTGGGAACGTATGATGCTAATCCCCCTTCTACAGGGAAATTGAGGCACAGAGAATATAAGTGGTTTCCCCAAAGTCACAGAGGAAGCCTTTGACAGAGCAGGGAAATAGCCCTGGGTCTCCTGAGTGCCAAGTCAGTGCCCTAAACTCTGGGTCATCCTTCCTCCTTAGTGCACAGAAGCCATAGCCCTGGAGAGGCAGGCTGGCCTTGTGGTTAACGTTCTGCACCGGGACTCAGGAGAGCTGCGTTTATTCTGAGCTCTGCCACAAATGATCTGCCCTCAGACAAGTCACTGAATCTCTCTGTGCCTCTGTCCCGCCATGCATTAGGTGGGGACTGATCAGAGCTTCTCTCTCCCCCGTTTTGTCAGTCTCGTCTGTTTGACTGTAAGCTCACAGGACCAGGGACTGTTTCTTTCTAGGTGTGTATACAACACCTAGCACAACCGGGCCTTGGTGTCATGTGGGACCTCTAGGTATTATCATAATACAAATCTACACTCCGTGGCTGGACTAACATGACGGATGCCAATTTAAAATATACGCAAAAGCTTTTCACTGCGCCGTATTGGCCGAGAGAGAGAGAGAGTGTAACGGAGTCCCAGCTCCTGATCTGTCACCCAGCAGGTCAGCCTGCCATCTCGGCTGTGAATATGTCCCCGTGGCAGCTCCCGGCTCATTCTGCGTGATGTCAAAGCCAGCAAAGCAGTAATCAGTAAGGCACCAAAGTAGGAATAATTTCTCTTTGTTCCTGATTGTCCCAAATGCTCACACTCGCTCTCACAAGTGCTTTCGAATCCAGTTATTATTTATTAACAACAAGCAGGAGACAGGCATCCGCACAGCTTGCAGAGCCAGGCTTTATTCGGCATCAGAAACTCTCCACCTCGCCCAATAATTCTAACAAACACGTACCCGGAGCAGTGACTAATATCCTTCAAATCGTCTCTGGGTTCTGCTGTCCACACCTCTGTCGCTAAAGACACTGCAGTGGTTTGTAAGTCAATAACACTGCCTGGCTCGTGGGGAGAGATGATTATCCCTGGACACCTCACGTCTAGACCACTGCGAGGTTCCTCACCTGTGCCCAGCTCTCAAGGCCATGCACAAACGACGTCTAACACAGCCCATGGCCCCCCACCTTGTGGGCACAGCAGGGCACCAAGAACATAGACGGTCTATGCTCTGTGCTCCCCACTGCCAGGCATTTCATTGCCAGGGGAAGCTCTACAATGCACTAAATAGCCTGGGCCCCCAACTGTCCCTGCCCATTTAGCCCCCACCAAGGCAACTGCTCTTGGAGGGGGCACTTTGGCTGGTTAACGCTAGATGAGTCAGAAGAAGCAGGGGACTCACTCAGCAACAGTTACTTGCCCCTGGAATCCAGACCCACCAGAAGCCAGTCCAGGCACATTCTAGGTGAGATGAAAGATGCACCCAGATAAATAGAACGGTCACCAGAACTGCGTGGAAGTTGGTCTCAGCACCATGCAGCCTCAAAACTGGGACAAACTACACAGTTCCCGGCTCTTTAGCGGCTCCCCTTGGTAAACTGCCTTGCGTTGTGTGGGAAATGTTTGCAAGCCCTCTGGGTGGCAGTTCTTGCAGGCACTGGCCGAGGAGCAGAGCCAAGGGAGTGCCAGTTTTGATGTGTGGATGGAATTGGCAATTTTTGTGCCTTGGTTCTGACTGTTTAAATGACAGGAGATCCAAGTGCTAGGGAATGTCAGGGATATCCGATTTTTAATGTAAAGGCTCAATAAGGAGAGCTCTGAACAGGCAGAGCCTAGCCTGATTTACGTTTCCCTTTGAAACATTTGTGTTGCCAACTGCTCAGCTGGGAGCATGTCATGCTCATCCATCTCAGCGGGGAAATAAGGGAAAGGCAGCCATTAGGACTGACGAGATTATGCACAATTCAGCGGGCACAGCTCCATGACTGTAAACTGGCAGAGGGGACGGCAGCTCCTGAGTAGGCAGAACTGCAGTCGGGGGGCTGGAGAGGTCCTGAAGAACCTCAGCCTGGGGTGAAGGAGCTAGAAACCATGGTAAATCCACCTCTTTCCCATGGCCAAAGCAAAAGACAAGTGGGCAATCACTGTGCTGTGACAGACGAAGACAGGACATGCTGAGAAGTGGCTAATCAGGAGAAGGAGTCAGGAGCAGCCCTCCATGTATTAGTAACTGCATACTTGAGCTGCTTTGCAGTACAGTGGCTAAGGGAGGGTGGGACAAACACATGCTAAAAAACTGTAGCGCAGCGTAGGCTTGCCATACCGATCCTGTACAGGCGTAATGCATCTAATAGCTGGGCCCCAGACAACTGAACTCTCAGGGTTGGTACGTCCAAAGTCAGCTCTACTTCTCCTGTGATGCAGGGCTGGGAGGGCTTCCCTTCTGCGCCATCTGCTCCCACTCTTGGAACAAGACAATGGACAAAGTGTATCTGGGATCGTTTTACCAGGTTTGCGAGAGCATCCTGTGGTATAAATAAAAGATAAATTAGATGAGTCTGAGTTGGGGACTGAAGTAACAGAAGAACAGGAATTCCCTTTCCACCTCTTGATGGGTTTTTCAGCCACATACAAGGAGTTTCTTCAAATAACTAGGAATCAGAAACTGAACTGGCCAATGGAGACAAATGGCACCAAATCAGTGTCACTGTTTGAGTGAACTGTCAGCTGTGTGGGGCAGGAGCTGTCAGTTACGGTGTTTGTACAATGCCCAGTGCAATAGAGACAACGAGCCAGCCGAGGCATCAGAAGGCTCTCATGACATAAGCAGCAACGGGCTCTATGGTATAAAGGCACTTTGACCCACCCCTTACGATACGTGAGGGTATCAAGACAACTCTGCTACTCACCATCTGAAGTTTGATCTGAGCACACACAGATTTCTTCTTCACAGCTGCCAAGCTGCTGGTGAAGGTCTTCCTCACACAACCCGTACGCTGCAAAGCTTGCTGGGAATTTCCCTCCAGACCTGCCACTGATCGGCAAATCAGGGGCATTTTGGACCGAGGCAGAAACAGCTTCTTCAGAGCATCTCTGTCAGAAATGAAACAGTGAAATAAACCAGCCACGGTCACAAATGGACTGATTGATAAGATCACAGAGATGCCGCAATAATGGCCCAAAGGTGAATGGAAAGTCTTTTCCTTTCAACTTACTGCAAAACGGAATAAAAACCATGATTGTGCACTGGCTAGCACACTGCTAAGGAAAGTGTTTGGATACTGTAGCTTCCTTACCTATGGGGAAGCTGCCACATTGCGTTATCATTGTCTGAAATGCAGTATTTCCTGGAATGATGTGCCAAGAACCTGAGTTTCCTTCTGGATGTTTAACCAGGAATTGTATCCCAGCACATATGCTAGAGGCAAGCACTGGGACCAGGTACTGAAAGAACAGGGTATCTCAACAGCACACTTCCCCCTCCCCTAGAAACTGAGTCTTTTCTATTCCAGGTAAAGGGAGTGTGTCACAGGGCTCACATCAAACACAGCCTACGTAAGACAAACCTGGCTGTGAACAGAGAATCTCTGTCTCTCATCCATAGTGGATAATGGCCATTAACTTCCTCATTGAAATGAACCCCAAACACAGTGAGCTGAAGGTGGCTTAATAGCGGGTTAAAGTTACTGCCTATGTAAGGACATGAATAACTATTTGATTATATATGTGCCAGGGTGCTAGAGGAAACAATACAAATCCCAGTGGTTTTGAGACAGAAGGAATGGTGCTAGTCATGTGACGCCTGGTGTCTGACACAGCCCCGTGTGTAGTAGCTGCTCCCGGTGCCCCTAGGAATCTGGGGATGTTCACACTCATCCATTCTCTACATTAGTGGGGACTGGTGCTGAATAGTGTTAGTGTCACCTTCGAATCAATCACCCTTGGTCGGGGCAGCCAGGGAGACCAAGATCCATTCCTGGAAAGGATGTTTGCACTTTGAAACTGCTGTTGAAGACACTAATGACCTGAGCTCACAGTGGGGACTCAGGCTGGGACTTTCAAAGGGCCCAAAGAAAGTCAGATGCCCAAGTCCCACTGAATTTCATTGTAATGCCGAAATCCCAGCCTGGGCACTCAGTTTGCACCAATGACCAATGGGAGTTTTGCCTGAGTGAGGACTGCAGGATCTTGAAATTTTCTGAATAATAAATATAACATATAAACTAGATCATATCATATATAATCAAAACAATGTCGAAATGAAGCATTTCAATCTTATTGAAACAAAACTTTTCAACCTCATTGAAATGAAACATTTTGATAGCTTCCCTTTGAAAATGTAGGTGAAACTGAAATGTTCCCATGAAACAAACCCATTTCATTGAATCAGCATGTTCTGATGGAAAACTTATGACCAGCTCTATACACAATGTCTATTCATTCTGTATTGTATGTCAACCAAATTAATGGGCCCAGCTGCTGATTAATCATAGGTGTTTGATGTTATTGCAGACTACCAATGAGTGAACCTCAAATCATTCGGCACCTGTTTCTCCAGCCTTACCCAAATGATCAGACTTTCTGCAAGCCTGGGTCAAACAAATGCCATTTCTGCTGGCTTTGCAGCATTTTCATGTCTGATCCCAGCTGGACTCCAACAACAAAATACAATAGCAATAGTGCTGACGTTACATTCTGCTTTTCATGTTTGAAGCACTTGAGAAACCCGAAGGGACCAATTCTGCACCTATCATTCACACCAAATAGCGCTTGCCTGAGGAGTCCCATTGAAGATACTGGGTACTTCTCACTCTGAATAAGGGTTGCGGAATCAGGACCTAAACTCGTGAATACTCAAAATACCCCAGGGAGCTAGGTAAGGGAGGGTATTACCAGCCCCCTTTCACAGATGAGGACACTAAAACAGAGAAGTGAAGTGACTTGCCCACCATGGTCAAAGAGGAGTAAATATCGCAGCCAAGATGATAACTCAGAAACTGCTGGCTGCGCCTCCAGTGCTCAGACCATGAGATCCTGCCCCTCTCTCCCCTAAATAATGTCAGGAAAGGCAACCAAACCTTCACAAACTTCTGCCAAGTTTGGCTCTGAGTTTGGGGTGAGGTTTCAGGAAGGGAGAGAGAGCTCTTGGATGACCCAAACCAGTTTGTGCATTGCTGCTACCAACTGCTGTGATTCGCTCTTGGGACTTGTGTAAATGACTGCACGCCCTTCATAATTCTGGTTTCTTAGTAAAAATTCACACTTGATCCGTTATGAAACCATGGAACAGTGATTCCTGATGTGACGAAAGAGGAACTGAAATCTGTTCTCTATAGCACGAAGCAGCAGTGGAGACAGGTGGTTTAACCGTGGCAGACATTCCATTAAGCTATCCCCGACTTCAGGAAGGATTCTGCAACTAGGGCAATTATTTTCCTTAACTTCTCTGGGACTGAGCTAGGCTGAAGCTGCTCTCAAAACAGCCAGTGAGGATGGCCTGCCAACCACTTTGGAGTATCGTTATAAATGCTACAAAAGGTATAATTTCCACTTTATGATCCCCAGTTGGTTCAAAAAATACCCATAAAAGTCTTAGGCTTAATAAAAGATGGGAGAAAAAACCACATGCAGAATTTCCTGCCTCCAAAATGGAATCGCTTTCCCCTCCATTAACTTTGCTTTAGCCCCAGGGGAAAGTTTTACAACTTCCAGTCCCAGTTAAAACACTTTGTTTCATTAAGGAGGGATGTTATCCCCAGAGCAGTTCTCATTGGCGACGTTTATTATTGCCAGTGCTGCAGTGACAGAGAGCGCGCTGCGGATGTACCCTGCTTCCTAGCTCTGATTTACCTTGTCACAAGATGCCCTGCTTGAGCTATCTGCCCAGGACGTCTGCTCCTGATACTTACATTTTGGATTGCTGCAGGACTTGAATGGAGTTTTGGGCTGACAGGTTCAGCTTGGCTTTATTCATCCAGCCAGTGAGATCGTAGCGAACGGGATCTTTGCCCAGTTGGTGGAAGATCTCAAACTGCAGCATCTGCTCACACTTGCGAAGGAAGCCTTCCTCTGGAATGTCGATACACCAGCAAGCAGAGGTTATTCAAGGTCAATGGGGTGAAGTCAGCAAAGCTGCACAAACAGGGGGCCTATTGTCCAGCTAATATGAATGGGGTTTCTATGGGCTGTGTCCATTAGCACAAATTTGAAGTAGCCCGGTATAGTAAGAGACCCTGCAGCGTTAGGCTTGTGAAGGGTGGCACTGACATAACAAGTAACGTATATTGCACCTCCTTTATGTACCGGAAGCTGCACCTGTCCAAGAGAAGCAGGGGCAGAGACTCTGTCTGCAGGTTGTACATTCCTGTATCCCTGACCTTGGAATGGAACCTCTGTCCTGCACCCCTCCCAACTCCTGTCCCAGCAGAGAAGGTAGCCAGATTAGTGAAGTGCAATGTCATACGGATGCACATTAAATTAAAATACTCAAACAGGTACCGCACTGGCCTTTCCCATGGTGCAATTCTGCTGACTTCTGGAAAACAACAGCGCTAGAAAGCAGCTGTGAAGCCTGAAAAAACTCAGCCACCTGTGCCATTCTCCATCCCTGCATGCTGCTGCCTTTCCTTAGGGCATAGATGCCCAGGCATAGCCCCTGCTGCCAATGTGGCCCCAACCAACCCAGCAGACAGGGAGGTGGAGATGCTCACAGGGCTGGTTCCAGGTGCTTGGGGCGGCCAATGGAAAGGGGTGGCACGTCTGGGTCTTCAGCGGCAATTCGGCGGCGGGTCCCTCAGTCCCTCTCGGAGCGAAGGACCGGCCGCCAAATTGCCTCCGAAGAACGAAGCAGTGCGGTAGAGCTGCCGCCGAAGTGCTGCCGATCGCGGCTTTTTCTTTTTTTTTTTCTTCGCCACTTGGAGCGGCAAAAAAGCTGCAGCCGGCCCTGCTCACAGTCTCACCCTTGTTGCCTGGGCAGACTCCAGCTTCCTGTCTATTTATAAATGGTGCCTGTTGCACATATTATAGAAAAGGTCTTTTCTCTGGGTCACTCAGGTTAGCAGCACTAAGGTTTCTTTAAGCCGTGCACACTGCAGAGACGACAGCGTTTATGGGCCTGCTCCTCAGTTCACGTGAACCAGCCCAGCTCCTCTGACAGCCAACTCACACCAGCCACGGCTTGGGCTCTATATGTTTAAGTTTGCTTCCTGGCTTTTAAGTTATTTTGGAGCTGGGTCTGAAACACAATTGGTCTTGTTCCCACCTTCAAAGGTGCTGCTGTCAGAGGCGCATGCTGCAGCTAACCTAAGGAATCCAGCAGGCTGCTGTGTGGGAACTAAAACGATTTTCTCAGCAGTGTTGATATTTGTCACAAACTCTTCTACCACCGTTGACCTGGGCAGTTTCACAGGATGAGAATGTTGGGAATTTTTCAGTCTAGTTGTCCGGGTTAGCACTGTCAGACTGTTCCACACTGTATGACTGGGTGACTACAGATGTCCTGAACACACGGTAATCCTTTCTATACTTGACCTACCCAGAAATAATTTGGGTATTGCGTCTGTAACTGGCTTTCCTTTAGATGCACCATCACTCGGACACCAACCTTAATCATTTCATTTGACTCTAGTCTGCTCCAGCTCCCCTGGAAGTGAATGGCAAAGCATCCACTGATTAGAGTAAATGCACTTAGTTGGCACTGTACATCTGCTCACACAAAACTTCCTCTCCAGTTCCACTGCTGAGGATTTATTCAATGATGCAAAGATAAATACTGTACGTGCATCGAAATCTGGAACTTCCATGAAAGTCAAGCCCATCCCATCCCATGTCCACTAGAGAGCACCAGGAATGCCCCTGCAGCCTGGCAAGCTGGCTTCTCAGCAGGGATGGAGAGATGTTGGTTCCCATGTATGGATGAGATGTTAGGCCAGGCAGTACAGCATTAAGAAGTTATATGTTGAGTCCAAAATGCTATCTTAGTAGCTTCACAGGCTTTTAGGGCCACTTTGTCAGAGACTACGACGGGTGATCCCACAAAAATGCATGTGCACCCACAAAACCCAACCCCACATAAAGAGGTGCCTGCTTCTACTCACTAATGTGTGTGTTGTGAGCTCAGTGGGTCTATGTGCTTTTTTGTGGCTCCCCCTTTACACCCTCCTTTGTAAATATGGACCTTTGGTTGATAGTTGCTATTCATTGTATTCAGGAGATGCAAAGGCAGAAAGCTACGGTTTGATCAAATGCAGCAAGAGGCCCCTGAAGAGGTTATAGCACCAATTGGAGAAAGGCTAGAATGAGACTCTGAGGCCTCCGTTCCTCTCCGTGCCTTTTCACAGGGTACTTTCAAGGACTCATTCTGACACCAAATGCCCAAAGATCTGGCGGAAAGCTGAGAGGACAGGGGGAAGGGTGTACTGCACGTAACAGCCACTGAACCAGAGTGCCTCCCCGTGGCTCAACGATGGTCTTCCCCCAGATAAAATGCTGTGAGTCACATTTGCTTGCAGTAGCCAACAGAGTCAGACCCAGGCTGAGCCCGGCCCTTTGCTGCCAAGAAACGATCACCACCCCTGGTCCCCAAGCAGAGTGCAGCCCACTGAGGCATTTGATTTGCCAGATGATTTCTGAACCTTTCCAAGCCCAAGGGAGGTGCCAACGGAAGGGCAGCGCCCATCGCCTCTGCAGATTTTACAAGCAGAGTCCCCTTGTTCCTTACCCTCACTCTCTGTGCCCTTCTTGGCAAAGTACGAGCACAGGCGGTTGAGCACCACGCTGTCGCTGGAGCCCGGAATCAGAACCTCCTCGTCCAGGATCCAGAGCAAGCCCTTGGGCTCTTCCGCCTGGCCCCCAGGCGGCACCTGCAGCTGGTAAAATGATACAACCCATCAGAACATCTCCCACGTGGAGTGAAGAGGGCAGGGGAGGCAAGCGGAGATGCGAGCTCAGCTGGCCCTGTTAAATGAGGCATTACATTACCCTCTAGTGATGGCTCTTTGGTCACTTATGTAAAATGAGTTCGGATTATGTATCCATGCATCCAGCAGGCACTAATGAGCTCCTCTGCTCAGTCTGTTTGCTGTCTCAGGCCAACAACTGACCGGACCATAGGGACTGAGGTCCCTGTGAAGTTTGAGCACAGTGTCCATCCAGGTGAAGGCTGAGGAGCATGGGCCAGGTAGTGTGTGTGGGGAAGCAGGCACTGCTGCCGCTCATGCTGGATGTGCTCCAGGGACAACCAGATATTTCATTCTCTGCAGCAGTTATTTGGGCCCTTCACTAGCACTAGCCCATAGCCGCAGGGAACCGAGCGTGAAACGTTAAGAACCTAACTGCAGCCTTTGCTCCAACCCCCCCCCGTCACCGTTCCGTTCCTGTCACCCCAATGTCAGCGCACCTCACGTTAGCGCATTGCCTTTGTCCACTGCGAAAGGGAGACTAATCCTCGTGAAATGCAAGATCCATAACCAGCAGCATTCCCAGCACTTACTCCCTTCCCCGCCAGCGTGGAGATGGACAGAGAGCAACCCGCTGTTGCTACTGCTTCCCGGCCGTGTTACCTGTGAGGAGTTCTGATCGATGACAGACACCGTGGCCATCGGAGAGAGCTCTGGCAGATCAAAAGGCACCTCGACATTTTCCTGGAAAACATTAGTGAGAAGTTTGCTTCATTGGGGAGCTGACATTTGAAATCCAAGAGGAAATAAACTTGCAAGAAGAAAAACTGTGTCTGCTCCTTCTCCCCCCTTGCTGAGTGACAGCCTGAAGTTGGCTGATCAAAGCTCCTGTATCAGGAATCTTTGAACTGACTGCACTGGCAAAGCCTCCGCTGACATGACTGGGTAATTCTGTCACACTGAGGGTGTTCACAAGGCTTCTGCAGTGGTTTGGGTGAATGTCAGAGAAGTTGCATAAATAATGGATGTGATAATAAAGGAGGACTTAACATGGAAGCATCTTGAAAACAATCAATTATTTAATTTGCAGCTTGCAGGCTTTTTATTGTTTTTATTCCGTTTTCCTCTCGAGCTGAGAATTCTAAGTCAACAAGCCCATGTTACCAGGCGCCTGTTTCTACAGCTGTTAACTTTCTCAGCCTCACTGCCCCACATAGACACGAGCCAGCCATTCATTACTGACAGCGTCTTCCTTGTGCTACATCATTGGATTATGCTGCTCCCCAAAGGGGATTTCAGCACTTCTGAAAAACAGCATTTTACACACATGCTTTGACTTTGTGCAGCTAGTGTAACTATTTCACGCTCAGGGCAGCCGTGAGTTAAGTGGCTCCTGGCCCCAGCAGCAGATGAATCAGGTGTTTTCTGCAGAATTCACAGTTTTAACGTCTTTCCATGCGAATTGAGTGAGGCAGCTGGCTGCGGTTTCAGATCCTGCACCCACACATTGAGATGGAACCAGTTCAAATGCGGGGTCCCAGATTTAAATGGACACTAAAAACACAGGCTGATATCAAGACAAATTGTGCCTGAGCATTGTGAGTGACGCAAGTAACTTCAATATTAAAATGCAGATTAACTTTTGACTTGCTGCAATTGTTTGTGGATTTTACATCAACTTGTTTCCTAGATAATTGAACATTTTCTTTTCTTTTCTCTACCTGGCACACAGGGGTACAAAGACAAGTGCTCAGCTATGTCACTAGCAGGGCCTCCTCAAGCCACCTCCAATGTGACAAAGCTACTCAAAGGGAAGTCCAAGCCAGTGATGAAATCTAATGGGATTTCTATTGAGACCACAAGGAGCTGATGGGGAAGGAGTACCACACAAACAAGGTGGGAAGGGGACATTGCTTAAGACTTCAATCTCCATTCAGATTTTGGGATGCTTTAGCAGTACTTCTCTCATTAAAAGTCAGTGTTTAAAAAGCCATGGACACTGGCTGATATGCAGCAAGTGGAACAGCAGTTCAGATCCTAGAGAGGGTCAGAGCAGGGGCCTCACCTCCCTGTACCTCTCCAGCTCGGACATGAACGTTCTCTTGTAGAACAGGGTCTGCAGCTGCTCATGCACATAGTTGTGACAAAGTTCTTCAAAAGTAGCTGCTCGCTCCTTCTTCTGGTGTCGAGGGTTGTGGAAACCAGGGGTGTCCACCACCATGATGGAAGCCATGGAGAGGTGGCTGGATGAAAAAGACCTGAGAAAACACAGTAAAAATAATGTGGAAGCTTTAGACAAGAACATATCTGAGTCCTATCTGGTTAATTGAAATTATTTCCTTCCCCAACTGTAAATATTCTTTCCTCCTGTAACTATCATTCCAGGAGGCACTTTTAATCATTACAGTCCTACGACCCTAAGCAATAATAACACCACATTGAAAATCTCAGCAATGCCTAGTTGGTTGGCATATGTTTGTGTCTTTAAAACAGAGTGCTAATAACCACATAGCTACTGATATTTTCCTGTCCTTTAGAATTTGAACTTTATCCAAGTCCTCCTTGTTTTATTTATTACTGGTGACTGCTTCCAGCCTAGAATAGAAGATCTGGCATAGCTTGTTTCTGACCTGGACTAATAAACTTTTCACGGATGATGGGATGAGATGCCTCTTCTTAGGCAGCATACCTGAAATATGGAGTCCTCAGACCTAAGTCGTCTTAACTTTGGGTGGCAGAACTGGTCCTAAAGATGGTTAATTGATCCACATTGACTATATTAATGGCAGTTTTAAGTTCCAAAGTATCGACTGTAGGAAAATAAAGAGTGTGATATTGCTACTGTGGAAGAATGCTGGGGAAATGATTGAGGAAATGTATAACCGCAAACGCGGAACGCAGCAAGTATGTTCTGAGGGAGAGACATACTGTAAGGTCGCTGGGAGAGAAACCATCTTTTCAACAACTTCTTCCATGTTTTGTTTCCATCCATGCCAAATACTTCAGATAAAAATAACTGTGGGAACATGACCTGGAGAAAGCTCTGTGGTTTTTTCAAATATCTATTTCTGAAAAGGTTGAGTTACTCTGCTCTCCTTCAGATGCATTGTTTTATGTCGTTTCCCATCTCGTCCTCCCGTGGCATGATACAACACGATTTGTAGAGCTGCACATTCTGCACATGGGTGAGATGTAAGAGCATGTACTTCTGTCAGACGGCAAATGCCAACTGAAGAAAATTGCTGAAAATAATTGGAGGGAAAAATGCTAGGCATTAGCGTCCCGAAGTCTCCCTGAAAAATACAAGTTTGCAGGAAGAAACCAAAGTATTTTTAGAATTCACTTAAAGAATTTCCTATCAGCACCTTCCCCTAGCACCACTGACATGTCCTGTGATTCTGAAATTATAGTACAAGTTGAAAGTGATTTAAATTCATGGTACCTCATCAACTCAGTGAGAGTCAGCAAAATTTTTTTGACTGCACTGAAACATATGTTTTCCACTGTGACATACTGTATCATTGTTGGAATGGCTTAAAAGGCTTTGATGGGCTGGCTTGAAAAATAAAAACAAGTGAAACAAAGCTGGTGTTAAAGGGAGTGGAGGAATACAAGACACATTCTCTGAGCTAATGCTTCATTATTCAGGATTTTAGACAGCCAGCAGCATTTTGCTCTTCCATGAGATCTCAGAGAATCATCTTTGGACAGGCTGAAATAAATCAGAAGCAACAATCTGGAGTATTTCCAGTCACAGGATTGAATCTAGATTCTGGATTTGACAACTTGAGCTGTAAATCAGAATGAAAAACAAAGAGACTTCCGTAGCCTGATTCTTTTCTCTATTGTCTTGACTAGAGTTGGCCTTGATTTACACCAGGATAAGAAAGACAGGCACCAGTTCCCAGGATTCCTTCTTTTATAGCAGCTGCAGCATCGCTGCTGAGAAGCAAGTGGGAGATGGGATGGTGCAATTGGGGTTTCCAGGCCAGAAGGCAGCATTATAACTGTTAGAAGCACCAGAAAGAGGCTGATTAAATGTCCAGTAATCATCAGCCGCTTTTGGAGTTTGGATACAAACTCTATAATTCTTAAGAGCTAGCTCACAGCTCATAGTCAAGCTTTTTATTAGAGAATGAATCCTACCAAGCAATCTGTATGGCTCAATCTTTGATTTCACAACCAGTTTATTACTCTGTACATACTGGTAACCTTGATTTCAATCCTGCAAAGTCACAACGATTATTAATAAGTAAACAAGCCAGTTCTCAACACCGCAGTGCTCCAGTGACTGTGTGGTCTACAGGGAAATATGGCGAGTGGAACTAACGAGGGGAACAGGCCCATCTGACTGTGGGGAATACTTCACCTCAGCAGAAAATGTGCTAATTGGATATTCCAGTCTCCGAGATGCACACTGGATATAAGAAACAGAACTGAATGTGTTTTTGTCATAGAAAAAACGAATCTGATTACCATCCTCTGGCTACCAAAATCCACATAAACATGACCATCAAAGAGGAGATTTCACATCCCCGGGATTAGGAAGGTTTGGAAGGGTTTGAACTAAAGGTAGGTATGAGTATGGGTAAACTGGTAAAATTTTAATTTTAATTTCATGTCACTTGTAAAATACTCAGTTCCGTAAGCCGTAGTTTGTGATATTGACAACTTGCACTTTCAGTTTTAATAAAATGAAATATTTTAAAATAGAAAGGATGCAATGTAGCTAAAAAGGGCAAACAATCTACAAAGTGGGACTCATAAGGGGGCTTCTGGAGGCAACACAAGAGGCTGGTTTCCCGTAGTACTAAGAAAAGGAGTTCTTTCCACCTAGGCTCATGAAGAATGCTTTGGAAAAGCAAGAAAAATCATGAAACTTCTCAGACTGACTCTGCGAACCTAGTAAGCACCAGTAAGTTGAAAAGAAGAGAGGTAGCACAGAAGTAGCACAGTAGCTAACAAAGCAGGGTCCTGGTCCGTGACTGGGGCTCCCACCAACCACCACAATGCAAAATACAAGTAATAAGAAGTGAGTGCTAGGCTGATCAGCACAACTGGGAGCCTGGGGAGCAGAGGAAAGAACTCAAAAGAGTCCAAATAAGAATCAGAGAAACCTCTGAATGTTTGGGGCGCTTGCCTAACCTAGCAAAACGTCCCTTCTACTCACCGTCTGGCCACAGCCCCGGCACTGCAGCTTGCTATCTGCTAAGGGCCACATGAGCTCTGTGTCGGATTTTTCAAGTGCTCTGTATCCACAGTGGAGACCAGATCTGCGAAAGCACTCGGCTCCCGGCACCTCCCAGTGGGACACGGATGGCCGGACTTTCCAATGCACTGAGCTCTTGGGAAAATCTGACTCCAATTCTGGGGGCTGAGTCCTTCTGAAAATTCTGGACTCGGGGTAGGATTTTTGAAAGCACTGACATGACCGAGGAGAAAGAGTTCCAATGACTTTTAGTAGGACTTATGCTCCTAGGAGGAGACGGGCGGATCCCTTTGCACGAGGGAGTGCGCCCGCCGTTAGTTACCAGGGCTCACAATGCAGGGGTGATTTTAGACACCCAGCTGCTGTTGGATGATCACAGCCCAGCAATAATTCAGACACTTTACCGTGTGCGTCTGGTCCGGAGGTTGGCACCTCTCCTGTCGGAGGAGAGCCTGGCCAAAGCGGTGCTCAGCACAAGCCCTTCGGCTGGATTCCTCATGCTACAAAGAGAACGGGCTGCCAGCCCTGCCTTCTCTGTCGGGGCCCCAGGACGCTGGGATTTGTCCCCCCTTGTCCCAGAGCCTTGGTGACCTGCCGAGCAGGCCGGAGGGGCCATCTGAGGACGGTTGAGAGTCAGGCCCTGGTCTGATGGGAGGGGGTGGAAAGGAGCTATTTATAGCTGGCTGAGCAGTGCTGATTCCAGCCTGAATGTTTGTCCTGTAATGTGGCTGGGGTATGGGGTTGTAATGCTAGTTAAGTGCCGTGATGCCAGCAGATAGCAAGCTGCAGTGCCAGGTACCAGCTTTTATCATTGAAATCCAGACAAACAGATACAAAAATGACGAAGTCACATGGTTATTTTTGAAAATCCGACCCAAGATATGGAGCATCCTGCACGCAAAGGAACCAAAACCGGCCGCGAGCAAGTAGCTGCTGCATTATGCTCCAGGAGCCTTTCCGCCTGCTTCTTCATCGCCGGGCGGCCAAACACATCCCGGCTGGTGATGAGCAGAACGAGCCATTGAGCATGCTGTAGTATCCTTTAAGAAGTTCACTCTTTGACTTTCTTCTGTTACAGAAAATATTCTTCAGATAACCTTTCTGCAGCAACCAGGGGCTACCTACCACGTGCATCTCTTCAGAGTGCGTTCGGCGAAGATTTCTCTTTATTAATGTCAGGGATGGGGAACATAAGGGACAAACATAATGGACATGAATCATTTCTATGTATTTATACATTGTTTATCAAGCCTTCCGCTCTCTACTAGCCCCGGAGAGACTTATTTGTTTGTTCTCTTAATTGCCTGGCTTAGGAACACTCAATACCTGTTGATCAGAGAGACAACAGCAGCAAACAGCTCTTCATAGAGACCTGCAGCCATCCCCTCCACACATTCCACCCCCGTCATCTTGGGCCCTAGAGGATACACAGAGAAAAGAGGACAGAAGAGCAAAGACACTGAATGATTTATTTTCAATCCTTTTTGATCTTCCATAGACAGAATTGATAACGACATCACCTGCTCCTAATTCCTACGTCCAAGGCACTATATAAATCCATTTACATGAGGAATAAATATTTGCATGAGTGGCCCTGAACTGCTCCAATGTCTCTTACCTGATTTATATTTTGTAATCAAGGCTTTACAATATAGGGACTGATCTCACAAACTCTTACTCACACAAGTATATCCTACCAGAGTCAACAGACCGCACTCCAGTCAGTAAGGACTACTCATATGAGTACGGGCTGGTTCTTAATCTGCATGAAATCAGAGAGCGACACACACACACACACTCTAAACCTGCCTTCCTGAATTAGCTCCATTCATTCGTCTGTTCATTCCAATTATGCACTGGTTCATTAATGCTACCAGACCATATATTTATGCTTGCTCTTCACTGAGCTAGCCCTGTAAGTGCCATACAGCATGTTACGCAAATTTTCTCTAGAAAGACGCAGGCTTTTGCAACAAATCTGCAGTGCTGCTTCATGCAGGAGCATGATGAAAAGAGGCTACCTTTACATACTGACTTTTGTTTTTTTGATAGCTCTTAAAACATTTTACATTCTTCCTTTAACCCTGGAACCTGAGCTGGTTGCTAGGAAACAAATAGCCTCCTAGCACCTTTCTCAAATATGACAGTCCTTTCCATGGCAGATGTCAGAGTCTGAGAACCGTGAACACTAGCTGCAAACACACAAAGGGGAAAAACAACTTTCAAAAGGAAAATATCACCAAAAGAAGGGAGAAAAATAAAACAGACACATTGAAATCAGAGGGATGCTGGCTGTGAATTACACTCAGTGCCCAGATGTCAGCAGGGAGCAACACATTCTTGGCTTCTCAGCCAAATGATTTCCACTTGCTACTTAAAAATACTTGACATTTACAATTCAAATAACTATTTGTTAGGACTGATGCTCCCCTCCTCCTCTGCTGCTTTTCAGCCTCCTTGCAGGAAATAGTTGGCAAGTGCATGTTCAATAGTTCTCCTGTTGGTTTCAGCACAATGCAAAATTGTTACAAAAATACACAAATTGCCCTGTGAGTGACAAAAGAAATGACAAAGGTGTGGCAGCTTGCTGGTCTTGGGAAAGGCATTAGCGTGTTTTGGAGTGTCACTGCCTCATTTGCCTGTTCTGTTCAGGTAGTGATGTTTCTTCTTGTGGCATACAAAGAAAAGTGCGAATGACATGCCGATCATGCAGATGGCAAGGACATAGCCTAGTCCAAGGGATTCGAATGACTTTGGAGATGTTCAACACATCTGATAATGCAGATGGCGGAACAAATATCATCTAGCTCACCCTAATTTACAGGAGGAGAGGAGAAGTCGGGTGTGCCCATGCTAGCTGTGCTCCAGCAGGATCTCGCTTGCAAAATGGAGCAGAGTCTCATTGGAACAGGGTCTCTCTGACAAATGTGTCTTCGCTTTGCAAATAGATGGATTTTTAGACCATGTTACTTGACTTTCCTTGCAGTGGGATTGTAGGATTAATTATCTTAAGATGCTCTGAAGAAGTGACACGTAGGATCAGTATTATAAATTGGGGACAATTACATTCATTATCTTTAAAAAATTCTTTAATATAACTATGTTTAAAGGATCACAGCACTGGTGAGAGATGGGTGAAGTATATCTCTCGAGAACACGCCGCAAATACTCTAACTATTCCTTGGTCAAGTCAAGAACAATGCACAGGGCAATATTTCCACATCAATTATACTTAAAGGAAAGGGTGGAAAAGTCCGATACCAGCATTTCGTTCCTCATCTTTGCTCAGCCGACTCGTTCCAGATGTGACCTGTTCTATTATCTGTTTCAGATGGTGCTTGAAGACCGCTGTTGTGAGCTCCTCAAAATCGCAGCCCAGTACATCTGCAGCATTGTTAGCCCACTCAAATTTCATGAACTGCTTCCTGCCAACTGACAAGAGAGGAGAAAAGACAATAGAATCACACAAAACAAGCCAGAAGATCACCAACAGCTGCATCTGACTGCCTTCCATTCCCAACCCATGTCCACCCATAGGCACAGAAAGCAAACCTATCATTTACCAAGGAAAGGGTGGAATGGGGTGGAAGAACATCCTGGGTCATCCTCCTGGTGAGACCTATTTACTCTTTCCCCACCAAGCAAAGAAGGATTTCACCCTTCCCTGAATACATAAATTGTTCCTCACATGCAACTTTCAAACGCCCACCCCACTGCCTTCACTGACCTCAGAATAAGATGGACGCGGTCACATACTAAGGGAAGGTTCTGGAAAGAATTCATCCAGATGAAAACAGGCAAAATAAAAAAAATAAAAACATCCCGACCCTCTGACCTGAATATTTTCTGAGCCTGGAATGAAAGCCTGTCTACCTCCCATTCATGTTTTGAGATACATTATGGCGATACATGCTCAGGTAAAGGCTATAAATAAATGTTCTTGTTTTCACCTTGAAACTGTGGTTGCCATTAATAATTTTACCTTTTGCCTAATTGCCATTATCTTGTTATTCCCTGCACCCGGTGGAGAGAACACTACAAATACCACGGAAACATTAATTACTCACAAATAACAATGGTAAAGATTTTAGCGGTGACCAAGCAACAAAAGAAATGGGGCAGATGGTCGTAGGCTATAACAGTGGCACACTAAACAAAGATAGGGAAAAATCTGCAAATGCAAGGTCATGTGATCTGGAAATGATTTTTCGATAGAAAGTACTTTAAAATAAATTGCTGCTCAGGTGTAATATGGCAGAGCTAATTAGTTACAACATGATGGAACCCATTCATAAAGAATACAGAGTAGAATAAAACTGATTGCTATAATTAGGCTTAATTTCACCTCCACGGAGTGCTTTATATTTTAGAACCTGTATTTATAGTTGGAGCTGCAGCAAACCCACGCATATTTGAAATGCTGGAAAGAAACACCACCTCCAGACTATGGCACTTCCTGCAGTTTTCCCTGTAGCCTCACGTCTAGCGGAGACACTGCTCTTTGATCTAATCCCAGTGCCTACAGAGGGGCACGTGTGCCAACTGCAAAGGGCAGCACCATTCAGTCTGGGAAGAATCACTGCTTGTGCATTTGTGTTTTAAAAGGATTAAGTAGGTCTCTGCGCTGGGGGCAAGTGTGGAGCTTGAAAAGGCTTGGGAGAGTGGGAGGAAAGGAGCAAAGTGTGCCAGAGCTTCCTCAGCTCAGCACAGCAGACAGGAATGCTAAAGAAAAGCAGGTATCAGAGGGGGAACCGTGTTAGTCTGGATCTGTAAAAAGCAACAGAGAGTCCTGTGGCACCTTATAGACTAACAGATGTACTGGAGCATAAGCGTTCGTGGGTGAATACCCACTTCGTCAGACGCAAGACCCACGAACGCTTATGCTCCAATACCTCTGTTAGTCTATAAGGTGCCACAGGACTCTCTGTTGCTTTTTAAAGAAAAGCAGGCTGATTGTTACTCATATTTACGTGTCAGTACTCAAGTTACTGTTCCAGCTCAGTGGCAAGGAACTGAGCTCCGGGAACAAACTGGGAGCACTGAGCTCTGCCACGGAGACTAGGGAGGAACACGGCACTGGAATCAGCTAGAGAAGACACTATAGCAAGCCAGTGGCAACTTAGGTTGCTTTCTGTCACTATACCACACATCGTAGCTGCTTGGAATGACACAGAGACAGCTGGGATTAGACTCAGGCCTCCCTCCACCAGCCCAGGACCTGTTACCTTTGAGTTACTGAAGAAGTTCCTTTATAATATCAGTATACAATCTATGACACACAGCTGAGCAAGTCCAACTCTGTCCAGTAGAGGACAGTTGTGCATTTACCTTATACTGCAGTAGGCTATGCCAAATTCCTCCCTGGGGAAAGTCCAAGGAGAAACCAATAGAATTATACCAGGGAGGAACTGGGCCAGTCTTTAAAAAAATTATTAGATCAGTTTCTTCAGGAAGGATTGAGCAGGATCCAATGGCTGGGAGAGGCAAAGAGGACCAAGCTACCATGGCATTATGATCCAATGCCAGGGTAGTGGCTGGCATCGCCGGACGTGGCCATCAGCCAGGCACATTCTATAACATCAGTAAAGCAATCTCTGCCAAGGATCATGGGCTCAAGCAAATCCAGTGAATAGCTCAGTCACCTGGCTACAATGGATTGCCAGGGCCAGAGTCTGCACTCAGTTGCCCTGGTGTAACTCAGAAGTCATTCCACTGATTTCAGTAGCGTTACTCTGGATTTACATCAGCATAACTAACTGGGAGAAGACTTTGAGCCAAAGTTGGTTATTAATTACAAGCTCATTTAAATGGTTTTAATTACTTAAAGCTTTTTCAAAGATTGTAATGAGCACTGAAGCTTGTTAAAGAAAAATCGTCACATCTTGCAAAAAATAAAACCCAAGTTCCAGCTTCTCGGATGGCACTGAAAGCCGAGTCCCGCTGAGGATGTGACAAGCATCGCTCAGAAGGCAAACCAAGATGAACAGGTGAACAGGGCCCAAGAAGGCCTCTAAGCATCACTTCCAATGTCACAATGCTAGCGTTCCTGGGGAGAAGAGCCCTCAGCATTGATAATAAGCAAAACGTGTTTCCTGCTCTAAGTGCAGCCTTGACAGGGAGGTCTGGGAGAACTGGCAAAAGATGCTCTGACTCAGTGGGGTTTGTCTATTGCAACCCAGCCAGCTCCAGTTACAAGGCGGGTTTAAAAATCACACACACAGAGTAGGACTGCAGTTGTAAAAATCACAAGGGTGGGTGTGGTTCTGAATTCTGTTTTCCAGATAATTTAAGAGAAATCTGAACAATGGAAGTAGGATACTAGCTGGAAACCAAAGACCTTCCCCTATTTAAACTATGCCAGTCAGACGCAGACCAGCAAAACTGACAAAAATCCAAGTCAGACATTTTATGCATCTTTTTTGTCTATTTTGTAAGGTTTTTAATTTCAAGGGTTAATATTTCATTTTCCAGTCTCCGGCCTCTTTAAAAAAACATTTTTCAGAAACACAGGTCTCTGCTCTGAAAAGGTCTTGGAGATACACGCAGCCACAACAATAGGAAATCTGACCCAGCCTTTGACTATTTTTGAAGTGCTGAGCACAGGTGCCCACAAACAGAAATAATACACAGCTGCCGGCTGAGCCTGGGCGCTGCTGACTCTCAGTAGCCCAGGAGATGGTGAGTTTCCCACGAACACTAGTTCTGTGTGAGTTAACAGACCTGGCAGACGCTAGAATGCATTCGCATTACTGCCATCATCGTTATTCCATATGAATCTTGACATCTCCTCATTCACTGGGAGTGGGCCAGCACTGGGACTATGCATTACTTCTGTCCCCCCCCTCCCCCCAGCTCTATTTTCAGGTCTTAAGTGGGACTTAATAGGCACACAGGGCTTGTGACGGCCCCTCTGCGCAGGAGCTAATTCCACCCAGAAAGCTTTCTGCCAGTGCATTGGAAGGGATCTGGAATACTAGATACCAAACCCTGTCACCTCTGATCTGGAGCTGAACTTGGAGGCCATCACTGCTAAAAATAAAATAAAATATATCAACTACATAAAAACTAGAATTTGCTTTTTAAAGTTCACAGCTCGTTTAAGAGCCACCAATTACTGTAGATCTTGTGCATTTATTAAGACAGCAACCGAAGTGTTCTCTATTTCTAACGTGAGCAGTTTTACTGAGGTATCCCTCAGCTTTAGGCAATGCATTTAAAGCCAGTCCTTTGGATTCTCATTCCAGTGCCCAGATGTTCACAGTGGCTAGGGGCTTGTAACCAACCTCTCCAAGCAACCCCCATCCCCTTTTAGTAAGAATCCCACACCCCCAGTTAGCTGCCAAGCAGCTTGTCTTTCTTTGATCTGTCCCTGCCCCAGAGAGCTTACAATATGAATATAGGCAGAATATTGTCTATATTTAGAGCCCTATATCATTAATTTTACCTCTGATAGCGATAACAATAATAAATAAATAAAATAATAAATAGTATAGCATTTTTCCTTAATCATTTGAAAATTTCCATTGGCATTAATGGAAGTTTGAGTTGAGTAAGGATTGCAGGATTTGGTCCTTAGTTAATGGTGCATTATAATGACACACTTCTAGATGTAAGTGATTTCTCCGACTGGTCGTGCTCCTAATGGCTTTTTCAGATGGTTCACACGTCTATTAATTTAAAACCACTAATTTTCAAACCTAGCAAAGTCACCGTTTGCCTTCAACACAGCTAGCTGCACACTACAGCCTCAACCCTGCAAAGCCTCAGGCATGTCCTTTTTGCACTGCGAGTGGTCCCATTGATTTCAAGGAATCATAGAACAGAACCACAGAATCATAGAAACGTAGGGCTGAAGAGCCTCGAGGGGTCATCTATTCCATCGTCCTGCTTAAGCACACCATATAGACAGCAACTCAACAATACGTGTGCAGTTGGCTCAAACCTCCAAAGAGATTCTGCCTTTGGGCAGAGACTAAGCAAGGAAAATGTCAAGCCCAAAGGAAATTATTTTCCAAAAGTTCAGAGTGAGTGAAGACAGGGGGGTTGAATTGCAATTGTAACGATCTAGTAGTTGCTGCTAGCAAAGGCTAAAATAGCATTTTCTTGCATAGTTTAAGAGCTTCAGAAGACTGAACTAACAGATGTGTTTATGGAAGCTGATGAGCTCACGATCAATCCCTTCAAATTCAGGATTGTCTTATTCAAGCTCAACAATGATTACAGTCCCCACAGCCCCGGAGGGCGTAGTGCTGTGGTCTCCCACAGCAAATAAAGCTGACATATATTTTCAATGACAATTATTTATATGCAACAACAGTGATTCCATCTTAATGATTAAAATCCATAAGGAGGCAAAATGCACACTACATCCTTTCAGAATTGACGAATATATATGCGTCTGTGACAGCAAGCTGGCAGGAAAACAGCGAAGA